GTGTACTCGATACAATGTGATTTCCGTAAAAATTTCATTCTATTCATTGTATTACCATTGGACAGTGTTCGATGAAAACATATATTTTGTAAGCATATATATGAATTTCAAAATTCACTATTAACCTATACCAATATACCAATACTCTCTGATAACTATTCATTAAATTTAATCTAATTTTATGAATAAAGTAATCATTTTTTTAAGTAATTCCTTTATTGTTTTACTAAAGGCAGTTTTTTAAATTAATTCAGCAATTTAGTTAATCTTTCAGAAAAATGAGTGATACATCCAAGAAAATGAAAGATTCGAGTGTGAAAAATAATGTGCAAAACGAATCGACGGATCTGGTCCGTCAGAAACAAAGTGTCAATAAAAAGGAATCAGCTTTGAAAAGTACAAACGAAGATGTACAGCGTGCGATCGAAGGTTTGAAGGAGATACCAGATGAAGAGCTTCAAGAGTTTCTCGATGATGAAGATTTCATGGAAGGTTTGGATGTCGTCGATGCTTGGGAAGGCGACGAAGAGAAAAGCCGCGAGGTCGAATTGAAAACTTCTCGTTTCAAGGAACAAGAACAAAAGCGGCCTTCTAGGTAGCATCAACAATATAAAATAATTTTTACCACTAATTATTATGCCTTAGAACGAACTTGTTATATAATGTTATTATAGTAATGTCAGAATCTTATACATTGGAATCAGTTTATACTTTATTTGTATATTACAACTTATCGGTGTTATATTTCATTGAGTATATTTAAAAGTACAGTGGGACTTTTAAACTACTTATAGGGAGAGACACCGTCGCGAACGCAAAGGATCTTATAGCCGCGAAAGACCAAAGAAAGAAGAGAAGAAGCACGAGGAGATACGTCGCGATCCTTCCAAAAGCACAAAAGACATAGAAAGGGATAAAATACGAACAAAAAGAGATAACGAGAGTAAGCTTTTAGCGGAAAAAGAGAAAGCTATAAAGCATTTGTTGGACTCTGACAATGTCGTGCCTCCTGGTACAGAGACAGAGGCGATTCAAAGCATCGCAGAGAAACAGAGTTTGGAACAAGTGCAAATGCATATCCGTAGAAGTCGAGAGCGGCGTAAGAGTTTAGAACGCCAAGGTGGAAATTCGTTAAGGCGTAGGACTCCAGATAGAATTAGATTAAATTCTCTAAACTCTCGACGGAAATCCCCGTTAATTTTAAGCCCTGAGCGCTGCAGGAGTCCCTTCAAAATTAGCATGGAAAGGCATCGAAGTCCGTTGAGGTTTAGTCCAGAAAAAAGAAGAAGCCCAAGATTTAATTGTGTCCGTAGAAGTCCTTTTGCGTTTAGTCCAGAGAGAAGAAGGAGTCCTGTCAGACGACTCAGCTGGGAACGAAGAACAAGCGCGGATAGAAGATGGAGTGCTGAACGACACAGAAGACGTACGAATATACACGAACGGTGAGAGGACAATATTTTTAAGCATACGTTACACTTCTTTTTTTTATTTTATCATAGAGAAACAATGTACTGTTTGTCTTATTGTCAATCTTCCTTGTCAAATGCGGGGTGGAGCAGTTAGACCGTTACAGAGCGATTTTGCTCAAACTATCATTAATTCCAGAAAATCTTTCAGGGAAAAGTTAGAAGATTCGAGGAGGGCTACATCTCGGCATCTGGACCAAAGAAAAAGACAATAGTCATATAAGATAAGCCCCCTCGAATGTTTTAACTTTTTCCTGAAAGATTTTCTAGAATTAATGATAGTTTAGACAATATCGCTCGAACCGTCCAGCTGTTCCACCTTGTATGTTGAAACCTAAGTATAGCGTGCGCTTAATGTTTAGAATCGAATTATACCAATAAATGCAATAAACTTTGAATTTCATCTAGTGGTGTATTTCAACTTAGATTTTAAATTGTTAAGCCGAAGAAGTCGATCACGGGATCGGCAGCGAAGTCGAAGTATGGAACGCATTAGAAGAAAAGCCAGCCGTTCGCCGATTAACAGACGTTACAGTCCTCGACGCAGGAGCAGAACTCGAAGTAGGTCGATAGAACGTCGTACGAGAAAGCGATCACCTTTCATCAACGAATTGACGAGGCAGTTGAGGAACGAAGCTATAGTGACGTCGCATATAAACACTGGATATGCACCTCCTCCCCCAATGGATGGGATATCACCGTTGATGAACACCGTCGTGTATCAACCAGAAGCAGAGCCTAGACCACCGATGCCACCAATGCCACCTTACATACATCAACCTGGACTACCACCACCCATGTCGTCAGGTGTAACTCCTGGCAGCGGACCACCACCATTCATCAACTTTGAACACTCATCTCAAACCGTGAACTTCGACTCCGTACCGTTGCATCCGTTACCTCAAACCGAATACGTCTCTGGCCCAGTTATGTACAACCAACCGAACGCCAACTCGATCCAACCCGCCCATCGACCACCGCTTCTCCCCGCACCGATCACTTCACCGCAACCAGAACCTGCCACAGGATCCATGGAACACACTCCAACAGCGTACGGTCTACAGACACCTCCCCAGCAGTCGCAAATTCAAAACTTCGAATTTTCGAGTAAATCCAAGGATAAAGCATCAAAAAAATACAGGGAACGCTATAGAGACTCCTATAACGGCTATCAGGCTTCCCAAGAAGAACGACTAAAAACTCCTGAACCACCAGTTATCTCCGATACAAAAGTAATTGTATTATACATTGTACAAAAAGTCGTTTTTTTTTCTACCTATACGTACTTGCATATTTCACTGTTCGTTGTCGAAACAGAAACTAGTTTTTGCAAATAACGATTTTATGTGTTTTGTTCGCAAAGCCTGCGGATACGTGTTCTATTCTTCCATGTGAAAACATTAATGTTTACCCTTTGAATTGATCTTGCAGCAGTTTGAAAAGACGAGTTTATCCAGTCTGCTGGAAGCATCTGTTTCCGCAAAAGGTGCGAGAAAAACCTATTTTTACCTTGTTGTTCTTGACATTCGCGTTTACAGACTTTCTTTAAATTTTGTTATATGTTGTTTTTAGATTCAGCTAATCTGCCAGTCCTCTATCCAGGTAAGAACGTTACAATTGTTTAATATCTTAAAATTATTAAGGAAATAATGTTACAACCACATTCTAAATTCTACATTCTAACTTGACGTTAACGCTACGTGAATTTGTATCTTTTTCTCCCCGCCAGGATTTAAGCCTGAGATATTACGGCACTGTGAGCATGCTCTGCGGGAACTTCCTACGGAAGATCCACGGTTAAAAATGAAGGGACGATTTTTCTACGACCCAAAAAAGGAAAGTGTACAGAATGACCTGGATATGTATACATCGAACTCCATACTTTTGCAAAAGAACAAGAGCAAGATATATTGGGAAGAGGAGGAAGCAGGTGAGTGTCTTACACCGGTAAAGTCGAATGTACAAATGCACCAGAAGATCTGTCAGACCGACGAAGTGGAAACGAGTACGAAACTCGTCCAAGCGAGTGTCACAATGGTGGATTTCGAAGTACAAGTTTACCCTCAAGATCTCCAGCAAGTTACCAAGGAAGACAAGAAACCCATCATGGATCGGCTGGATTGGAACGTGCGCGAGACTTTCGATTATACGCCCAAGTTTCGAGAGGCTGACGATTTGAGATGGAGTTTGAGTAATTCTTCCCAAAAGAGAACTTGGAACAGGACTGTATCTCCCTCTAGACGAACAGACGATCGCGAGCACCGCGTAGATTCCGTTTCTTTAGGATCGCCGATTAGGAATAGGGATAGCTTTTCCAGTCACAAAGGATCGGTACGGGATCACTACGTTCGCGATAGATACTCACCCACCTACAGACACTCTCTCAACGAGCGTGATGACTTCCACGAAACCAGAAGTGATCACAGTCGCGGCGAAAGTCCTATGATATTGGAGGATTCCGGGGAAGAGATCGAATTGGAGCATACATTCCAAAGAGGAGCAGAGTGGCATGGAAGAGGGAAGATATTGAGAGGCAGGTCGAGTCCCGTAATTAAACAACACGTGTACAGAGGCAAATATTCGGGAGGAAGGTCCTATCGTAGCCGTGGAAGCTTTCGTGGAAAATTCTAAACTTACTTGTGTAAAGCACAATTTACAATGTTGTAGAATTATATAATCAAATATATCGATATATCAAAATAGTTACATCTATTCTTGCAACAGAACTGGGAAGCGAATGTAAATAAGTTGCTTTCTTTTATTCAGATTAAGTATCTGTGACATTTATAATAAAACGCATTTTAAATACGATTTGAATACGAACGTCGTATAATAGAGGGAAACATGTGGACAATATGTAAATGTCCACGGACACGGTATATATAGTTATATCACTAGAAATGCAAGATCATTTCTACGTAATGTTTGTTAAATAAACGCTTCAAATGATAGTGCAAGGAGAAATACTATTTATGGCGTTACGCCATACTATATGTGTTAATTGTACAAATTTCACATATGATTTTTAATCGTTCTCTATAATGAATCATTCTGTCATTTTCGTACAACTGACACGATTTCTGTGAACATGCGGTTAAAATTCCTTTGAAACGATATTGGAACATCGTTTTTCATTAGTACGTTGAAGGTGGACGAAAACGATATCTAGAAAATATTTTGGGGAACAAAAATGCAAATTATTTTCTGTTAACTAAAGTCGTCAGATTTAATTAGCATGTAAAAGGATACCATGTAGAGATGGAAAAGTAAATACAGAAATATTCTTCTGTATTTCAACTTTTTTCCTTATTTTAATACTTAACATTTAATATAGAGAATGTTGCTGAAAAGCTTATCTACGAAGCAAGTTATTCGAGATTGGCTTCAAAATCTGATTAAAAAAGGAACAAACAATGCCGTAAGGATCACCTTTTTTCCTTATAGGTGTAACTTTTTAGATTTAGAGGTCGTTGAAATTTCTATTTTTTTTTTACACAAATGGATTTTGAATAATAGTTTGAATAAAAGAGATGATTAGAATAAATATATAAGTTTATTTACACACAATAATGCAATATCAATTTAATTAAAATGAAAAGAAAAACTATTGTAACATCTGTATAAAGAAATTATACTACATCAGTGATAAAGATGTAATTCCTAATGATTTCCAATAGTTACACACCTTTGGTCCATAGTCGTGTATTTATATATCTGGACATATTATGCACTTATTTAGTACCATTTATCGAATTGTTGCATGTGTATCAATGTTCGTTCTACTATCTCAGGTAGCTTATTTTTAGCAAAACATGCGAATTCTTGAAAAACATTATCGTCGCAATCTTTAATATTTATAGTCAAAAAAACCTTTTGCAGATCTGTTTTCTTTTCGAATGTGCATATAAAATCTAACTTTATACCATTCGTCTCGCTTGTTTTACCACAGTTTTCTATAACTTTCTCCGATATAAGAGTTTCCTTTTCCAGAGAACTCAAGCTAGTATCGAAAACAACACTGATAATTTTTCTATTACGCCATACACAGTGAGAACCGATACAATGGAGTACAAGTTTCTCATATTTCCCTGTATGCACATCTGATAACATTTCAATTTTCTGTTGCTTCGCTTCAACATCAGCGGTGAGAACTTCCACTTGTAATTTAAAAACCTTCTCAAAAATATCTTTTACTATATTAAAGACAGTAAAATACCAATCCCTTTGAGTAAATTTCGAATTCTCAGCAGCATTTGTTTTGCTATCATTCGATTTATTGACCTGCTGAAAACGATTCGCAGAGATCGTAATTATAAATTTATTTTTAGGAGGTTTCTTTGGTAGCACCGTACCAAACAAGGTGTCCAGCAAATCTCTGTACCCATCTTTGCTAGTTGTTGCACAGATCTCAGAGCCAATAGCACAGTACCTCGTAAAAGTGCCCAACAGAAGGTATGGTGTGCACGCTGTGATATTATGACTAAGTTCTATAGGATCTTGGACGCATATAGGTCTATTGGTATTTAATTTAATATTGTCAGGGTGTCTGGCATATTCTTTATACCTATGCATATACTCTGGCAGACTTTCGAAATCCTCAAATTCCGATTCTGCACGTGTCATTCCATCCAATGTGCAAATCACTTGCGATTTGAACATAAAAGATGCATAGAAAAGAAAGAAACCATGAAGGAGTTGTGGAATGCTGTTCTTATTAGTAATCGGAGGCAAGGTTGCATTTTCATCAAAATTAGCTTGCCAACCATTTATAACTTGTGGATTACAAGTCTCTTGGAGTTTCATTAGAGGAGGAATAATGTTAACGGACGGCTGCTGCAGATAAAAGATAATTATCAAAACTAAAGCGAAATTTGATATTCTTCCTGTGCCAGATATTTTAAAATGTCTCGCCCAGTATTTGATAAGCATCATTAACGGCTTCAGTCTGCTATCCAGAGAAATGCAATGCTTTATCAAGTAAGTTTTATATATACCTAACATGTTTTTAAATGAAATATCACAAGAAACGTCTGTTTTAACATAACAAAATTTTATGATAGGTGTTTTGGCTCTTGGAATTAATACTATATTAGAGAAAACGTAATTCTTTCGGTACAACATTTTCTTCACTACCCTAAAGATTTTCGACATAGTCCATACATCTCGCAATTCATGTTCAGCTTCGTATATTGGCTCACCTTGAATACAACATATTAATATAACGTAAAACAATTAATATTCCATACAAAATTTAATAATAAATTATAAATCTTACCAATATCTACGTATATATCTAAATCACAGTTTTTGAAACTTAGTCCTGTCTGAGTCGAACCAAATTTGTATGTAGTACATCTTGGAAATACTACCTTAAACATCATGTTCAGTTTCGTACAAATGGGATCGTATCTTTCTTCGATTTCTTCATCGGTAAGTTGTATCGTATTCAGAAATACTGCTAACTGATTATCGAACGTGGTCTTACTTTTGAATATTTGTTTTATGTTATTGTAACTTATTTGGCCTTCGGTTTCTATGGGGCTATTTTGCTTTGTTGACTTTGGCTCCCTTTGATCTTGAAATAAAATATTTATAATTTGAAAGTATTCCATATGTATTCAATTAAATAAGAAAAGAAGTAACTTTAGTTTTAATAAGGAAACTACATGTAACAGTTCTAATATTTGCTGCTTTGAACAAAACATTTTCCACTTGAACTTGAGCAATATAGAACTAAACATATAGTACCTTTAACGATACTTACCATCTTGCAGTGTTCTTCTTTTTATATTCAATTTTTTGTTGTGTAGCCAAACAGGTGTTTTTAATAGAGCTTCAGCAGATTTACTACAATACGAAAAAATTATTATTGTAAATAAACCAAGAAGCAAATTAGGTAACTGTAAATTAGAAATTACAATTACAGACATATTTATCATTGTTAATATAGTAAAAGTATTAGAAATAAAAATATCACTTTTACTTAAAACATTTAAATTAATGCCAAGAAATGTATTAAACGCATTTTAATACCTGTCACAAAATTCTATGATAAGGTAATCTGGACCGATTTTATGCTGTTTGATTTTGCCATGTCTTTGGAAAAAATTAATAAACTGACGGCCTTGGATCCATTTTGGTAACGGTGATACTACTATTGACCTTTCAACGATTTCGGCCTGTTGAACTTTCTTAAAATGTTTCTTACCTCCAAGGTGGCCTTGAAAGGCATTATTATCTTGAAAGTTCAACAAACATATGTTGCAATGTAGAGACATTGTCAACTAAGTATCAAAACTTTTGCGATACTCTCAAATCTTAGTTAAAAAGATTCTATTTGTTTTTTCTTTCTGTCAATATTGTTAACCAATCATATTTTATAAAACAATGCATAAATGATTTACTTAGAAAAATAAATAATTCACTTCTCACACAAAATAAGTAAACATCTGGGTTCCCTTTTATTTTTATTTTGACATGCTTGAAGATGTTAACTCAATATTGTTGACAACTTCATTTTAATTTATCGATTATACTTAGCACTTCTGTACATTCTTACATCTGTAATTATCGTTTTTATTAAGAACTTCTTATTGTTTACTATTTTTCTTAACTACTCTTTAGACAGGAAAAACCAGTATTCTCAAAGAAGCATATTTAACATCACATATTATTTGCTCTATTATTCCAAATCCTCAGAATAGGATAATGCAACAAACAAACATATATTCTGTAATGTACCATCATATTTTGAAACCTGTAAATAATATAATAAATAAAATAAATCAATTCTTACAGATTGTCAAATGTAAAGTTTGAGTAATTTACCATAAAAAAAGTAATTATACATATGAGAAATACCAAAATCAGACATCAGAATTAATTGAAATTAATATAAAAAGGTAGCAAATAATAGTGATCAAGTTTTTGCAGGTTAAGATTCAACATTTATATTTAACCCACTCTAATCCAAGGTATGTTTTCACTGTTCACACGTCTATTTGTCTGCGTTTGTCAGATATTAGTAAAATACGTAATATACCATACATAATATACGCTCATCTACTGATGTATGGACGCATAGAAGCACAAACGCCAGTTAATGGACACACAAATGGTATCGCCATCTAGCGGCAAGGTCCGAACTAATTTTCGGTCCGTTTTGTTCAAAAACATTAATTACGTACTTTTCTCTGCATATAAATGTTATCTTACATCACAATTATCATTATTCAACATTTAATTGTTTATTTGTACTCTAATAATTGATTGATATTAATATTTTTAAATAACTAGAAAACCGAAACATGTGGCGCCATCTCTCGGCGAACCGCCCAAGTTTGTCGTGAAGTAAATTAATTATTTAATTATTTAATTATTTAAAAAACTTAATATCAATTAATTATTAATGTATAAATGAACAATTAAATGTTGAATAATGATAATTTTGATGTAAGATAACATACAGAGAAAAGTACGTAATTAATGCTTTTGAAAAAACGGTCTGAAAAGTAGTTCGGACCTCTCCGCTAGATGGCGATACCATTTGTGTGTCCATTAACTGGCGTTTGTGCTTCTATATATATCAAAATATGCATGCAATGAATTTTATGATTAATAAACCATATTATTTAACAATTATGGTACTACTCGTTACTCTGGGGCAATGATGCGTCATTCGTTACTTAAGGCTACAAAAAAAAATGCGCCGGGTACAAAGGGTTAAATAAACAATATTCAATATTAAAAAAATACATTATTCTATCATGAATGAAACATACTGTAATTGTTTAACTTATTACGAACATTTTTGCAACATTGAAAATCAGCAAAATAACTTTGCACGACGACGATAATAGGACTGAATAGGACTTCATAAAAAGGGGACAAAGAAATTCACGACGAAGTTGTAAAGGATAGTAGGAAACAAGAATAATGATATACTCATTAATTGTTAACAGAAGATTGTTTAATCTATGCAATGAATATGGGATGACTATGGCTTCTTTTTATAAAACAAAAAATAACAAATTCACACTTAAATTACTAAAAATAAATAATGCGTATGTAAATAGTAAATATGAACGACTATCCACTTGAGGAAATAATAAAAGTATGAGAACGAGGACAACATATCATCGAATCGATTGCTTCTACTATCTTCCCGCAAAATATTATAATTGCTTTCTTTGGAATAAAGAATCTAGGATTCGTTTTCTTTCTTTCATCAGAATGTAATAAAACTTAATCGTTTAACTTGTTCCTACAAAGGGTAAACGCATCACACGCATAGCAAATCTCAAACTGTTGCGTTGTTGTTATTATTAAGATTGTTTAGAAAGACGTAACATTTAAAATGCTGGACAGAAGTAGGACTTGAGGAGACTAACAAAAAGTGTAACGACAAAATGAAGATGCGTTTGTTTATTATTAACCTTATGTAATATCGTTTCAAATTTTCAATTACATTATTATATATAATAAAAATAAAAATAAAAATAATAATAATCGCAATAATTGTAATAACCGTAATAATGATAATAGTAGTAATAGTAGTAGTGGTAGTAGTAATAGTAGTAGTAGTAGTAGTAGTAGTAGTAGGAGTAGTAGTAGTAGTAGTAATAGTAGTAGTAGTAGTAGTAGTAGTGTAGTAGTAGTAGTAGTAGTAGTAGTAGTAGTAGTAGTAGTAGTAGTAGTAGTAGTAGGAGTAGCCGTGGTAATAACAATAAAAATAATGGTAATAATTATGATAAAAATAATAATAAAAGTACTAATAATAATAATAATAATAACAGTGAAATAACAATAAACGTAGCAGCAGGAGGAGTAATAATAAAAATAATAATGCTAATCGTAGTAATAATAATAATAATATAATAATAATAATAAGTATAGTAGTAGTAGCAATAATAATATAATATAATGAAAATGTTTACAGGGTACATACAACTCTTTTTTTCATCTTGTATGGAGCTTTGTTAAGTATTTTCATCTTAATAAATCAGTTTCTTCTTAATTCAGTTTGTTTCTCTGTATTCATTCCTTATATTTTCACGTCGGTTAGCGCGATGCGATCGTCGAACGAGAACCTCGGGACAATATTTCAGTCATTCCTCCCCGAATCACGTTCGCATCTCGCGTAACCGGCTTATATCAGTCGTATTATAGTATATTTTCTGAACACAATGTTTTTACACATGACGTTAGGAAACTTATATTACTTTAATCCAGCCACGATGTGTTCCAAAGAATTCGGATCGAAATAAACGCGAAACAATATATTCGACGTCGTTATCGGAAAATCATTTAAACGTTTACCACTATTTCAGAACAATAATAGACACGCGACTGACGGAAATTTCTTAACGTATTCTAAATATTTTTCGTATTTTTTGTTTTTGTTATTTTGTTTTTCTTTTTTTTTTGGTTTCTTCAAAAGTGAAACGGCGACAATATTTACGGCGTAACTCTACAAGGAGCTCACTTTACTTTCGAAATGATACACATTAAATTCTTCGACGACGCGTGGTCAACAAATCTCGTACGTTTTAGTAAAATATTCGAAAGTAATGGGAAATCGTTTGGAACACAAATCGCGATCGGTTCTTACGCTATTTTAAATGTATACGTCTCTGTTGTTTGCTAATTGGCATAAATACTCTGCGTTTTGCGACAATTATTGAGTGGACAAATTCTTTTTTTTTTCCCCGGGGTACAAAAGCTATAAGAAACGCATACGTTATGAATGGAGAAATATGAAAATATTTTGAAACGTAGTCTCTGTAAAAAGTTTTCGTATGAACAATTAATTGGCGCGTTCGAAATCAACCTATCGCTGTATAATTATAAAACCCACTTTCCAACCAAATATTCTCAATCCCTTCCACATCGTTCCTTTTCTTTTTCTTTTTTTTTTTTTTATCCAATTCACTTTTTCCAATAATCGACCGCCGCTCTTCCGAGTATTTTTCGAAATTTTCTTTTTTAATAATCGCTCGAATTGCACTCGAACATTTTCCCTTCTTTGCTGCTATCGTTTTTCCATTCCAAGGAGTTCTTTCTTTTAGAATTAAGTCTTACACGACGATCGTTGTTCTCTTTCTAACACTGTATTACAATCGTTAACAATTTTAGACGATACAATAGATCGTTTCGCTGTGTGGAAATCACATAATCGGAATCATTTTATTAACACTTTGCCAACCGCCCGTTGTTCTTCAACTTTAACAACATGACCTCTATTTAAACTTTTGCAACTCTTTTAATGTAAAAGTTGATAAGATGGAACTTTTAAACGGTACCTAATGGTTGGAAATATATTCAGTGGTTTCTCATTAATTATATGAAATTAGACGAAACTGTTGAATCAACTATTTAACACTTTTATCGATGCTACTTCAATGTTTCAATGTATTTAAGCGAAACAGTTACCTAAAACTTCTCTTGTCAAGAGGAATAATCCCTGGATAACTGTTTTCCTGAAACATGAACAAAGAATCTAACAAAAAAGAAAAAAAAAAGAACCAAACAAGTCTACTTTACTTTTCTGTAAATCAACTCTTATAGTCTACCTGTCGCTATTATTTTTGATTTCAGATCGCATGTAGCATAATGGTACGAAGAGGTTTTCCCCGATTGGTTGGCAATGTGTTAATATCAACAATCGTCAGATGAGAAAATGCTTCGACGCTGCATTGAAGAAAGCTCACGTTGCGCCCAGAAGTCGATCATTTAACCCTTTGCACTCCCTTTGCAAGCAATTAACCTGTACACTGTTAGTCAACTGCAGTGTTATTTCTTAGATTTCTGACAATTTCATGGATTATACGACTTTTGTGCTTGAAATTCTTATCAACCAAAGGTAAGCGTAGATAAATGAAGATAGTTTAATGGGAACGTTAAGAACGTCACCAACAAATAACAGAGGTTTGGATAGGGGCTTAAGAATGCAAAGAGTTAAATCTTCTCTTGTTCTCTTCCATCGAAAGGAAGACTCGATCCCTCGCAGTCCAGATATTCTGATTTCAGTGGATTTTTGTCGAGGTTAGCTCGACGCATGGACCGCGACGAGGCAAAGGACGATATTCTCTAACTTACTATCTCACTCAAAAACTTTATCAAAAGCGAGATGTTCCGTACCAAAATGCAGAAATGTAACAAAGGTGTAAAAATTCGAGTTTCCCCAACTGACTAATGAGCCCAACGCGCGGTAACGGAAATTCGGAAGAGGGCACATGTGGAATCATCACACATTTTGTCTGCGTTTATAGAGCGTACTGATTTTTGCCGTTCGACGAGGTCATGAAAATGTCAGAAATCGTCGCAAACAAAACTTGGTCGAGTCTGACTGAACAATGCGTCATCTTATCGAACAATCGTACATCTCCGATGTCATACCTTTTAAAATTAAGAAGAGTCGTCTTCGAGATACAATGCTCTCTTCGAATATACAATTTTGAATAGCTTCGTGATCGTTGGTTATCCTAATCTTTTTTTAAGTATTCCATTCTTAGACATGATTGACGTAAGAAAAAGTACGACGTTTTATACAAGTCGGAGATTTTAGCGTACAGTAAAAACCTTGAAAGATTTATGCGCAAAATATGTTCTTAACGGTTTCACGTTTCAGTCGTACGTTATTGATATAAATTTTTATTAAGTTCGCGATCATTGGATGTCGTGACTTTACGTAGAATCTCCGTTGCGTCCATCGCTTACTCCAATATAAACAAGAATTCGTTACATGTTTTAGATTTAATGTATCATGCGCAATGATCGTCATACTTTGGGACAAAATAAACGTGTTAACAATACATATGTTTCAGCGAAAAATTCGAGCGAATATGGTTTCGCGAGTCATTAAATTTATCGTTAAATTCCTCGTTGCTAACTAGTAAACAAAACAAAAAAAAAAAAAAAAAAAACCTTAAGAAGTCTGCTTGGAAATACGATTCTTTGTTTAATTAAAATATTCCATTCTCGGGCATGATCAATGATTATGAAAAGTACGACGTTTAATAGAAATTTGAGACTTGTTTGCGGTGTACAGTAGTGAAAACCTTTTGAGAAATTGATACGGAAAATATACGTTTCACGTCTATGTCGTACTCTTTCGATACAAATTGCAATGACACGAATAAAAAGAGAAAATCAATAGTAGCATTAAAAATAGAATATTAAATTTGACATTGACGCTAAAATCATTCCATCGCATAATCGAAGCAAGCCGAAAATTTACGTAACGTATACACAGTATCGAGTAGTGTGCATACTGTTTATCTTTTCTTTCGTATAAAATAATCAAAAATCGTGAATAAAACGTGGAAAAATAATTTAAAAAGAACAACCTGTTTAATACATGCGTCGCAAAAAAAGAACTAGAAACATGTATAACGTCTCAAAAGATTATTATTTGTTGCAGTATATGTTTTTAGTAAGTATCGAAAATTTGGATCGCTCGTCGTGTCTCGTTTTATATTATCTTATCGCTATTGACATAATTTATTTTTACGTAATGTAACATTCTGGCAATAATATTTACGTTTCTCGAGTCACTTGTACTCCGTAACTGAACGGAAACGAAGAGAATGTTGAGGAAAACTGTTTAAAAGAGCTATATATATATATATATATATATATATATATATATATATATATATATATATATATAGCAATATATACATATATATTAATATTTAAAAAAGAATTTGAAAAAGAAAAAGTTAAAATGCCAGGAAAAGGTTTCGAACTAATATGCCAATGATATAACAAAATATACAGGGTGTCACACCTAAACCACCTGAATATCTCTTTCAATTGTGATAATATAACAAATATTTTACATGTAATTTGAATGGTTTGAAACTCAAATTGCGTGTAAAATATTTTTTATATTATCACTACTGGAAGAGATATTTAGGTAGCCTGGTTTAAGTATGACACCTTGTATAATAATAACAAATAGCGCTAGATACAATTATCGAAGTGAAACGGCAAAAATCAATTACGACTGCCATTGAAAACATATGCATATGAGTACGCGCGTATCGTTTATTATAAAGTATCTAGGTTTTGTATGATTATATCATTCTTGATCGATCTTACGTGTATACTGCTTTTTAACTTTCTTATTACTGTTTTTTTTTTCTGTATAAATATGTATTGTTGTTAAATGATGCAAACCTCGTTTGTTTAAAGTCCTTGATCAGCAACAAACCGACGTTTGCAACGTCCTCTTCTCTATTCGTCAAAGTAAATAAAAGAGTCGAGTTTACAATGCCAGTGTCCACTTCTCACACTTAAAAGCTAAAACCTAAAGCTGCACTCTTATCGTTTACCTATGTATATTGTACAAATAACTAGCATTTGACGCGACTGTTTGCTAGCAATTACTTGCTAAACCGTTTACATTTGTGACATTGTGTATAAAACTCTATTGGAGTACATGCTTACACTGGTAATCCTTGCTTTTTCCTCCCGTTTTATGCATCTTTATAATAGTAATTATCACGATTTCGCTCTCTAGGCCACACAGTTTGGGTTGCCAAAATTTGTTATAACGACGTTGCGCACGCGACTAAAGCATTTTCGAGCGTTTGCAGAATCGGGCAGGACCCGAGAGGCCAGCTGGGTTCATCCTCACTAGACCATATTTGTCCGTCCGTGCTCACAAGCAAAGTATCATAAGCTTCTGTGCCGGACGCGGCGTATCCGTGCCCAATGTAAGACCAGTCGGCTTCTTAAGATAGACAAACGAAAAACTAAGAAGAGAAAGAAAAAACTAATGGAAAAGAGGAGGCTTCCCTCGTGTCTTCCTTTGCATTCCTTCGTAATACTTCTTTAAATTCGTTTCGTTTCATCTTTTTTTTTTTTTTTTTTTTTTTTATATTTTGTTCTTTGGAAGCTGACTCGTTATATTATATTCTCAACATCACCCCTTTTACAAACGTTCTTTCTACATAATTAATCTCTGCCTCTGATCCATTACATATACTTTTACTAACGTCAGTTTCGCGCGGCAGTGTGTTGTTATCAGTGTAATATTTATTTCTAGACTTAGAGACTCGTTTCGCAGCCGACAGAACGACGAAATGCAAAGCAACGCGACGGGGAAGGACCTTCAAGTTCCTGCTGCCCGTTCTCACTGCTCTCCTTCCTTTTATCTTTTCGTAAACAGTACGATAAAGTTTGCGGTATCGTCGCGAACATTGTATATACAGTATGTATAATCACCTAATATATTTCGACGGTACCGCGGATACAGTACATATTCTCATCGAGCGTCGTTGTAGTTTCGTTCGCTCTTTTTGCGCTCTCAGTGGATAGCGACTGGACTCTGCTGGACGCATACTCCGACCATAGGACTGTCTTCCCTTTCCGAGTCTCTCTGTTTGCCGGTTGACACCGTCGACGGTTGTCTGACTATTCCATGCGCATCTGTCGTCGGATAACCGTAATTATAGAAGTTTTGCTGTTGTATCATCGGTGAGGTCATCATCGCGGGCAGATGGGGTATTCCAGGAAGAATTAGGCTATTATACGATCCGAGAGAGCTTTGTATCAGGGAACTGTCCACGGACTGCATGGACATTGGCCCGCTCGCAGACACCCCGGTGGCAGATGTCGACGGATAGCTCGTCGTTCCAACGCGCCGATTACCCAAATGGCGGGGCGAAGAATCGCACTCCATCGGTTGGTAGCCAGGGAGGCTTGATCCTTGAATCGGATTGCCACTGTTGCTGCTTCCCTGTCCTGACATGGTTACCAGTCCTGGGACATCAAGAAAATACAACCTTAGATTCTTTAGCTAATCCAATACAATTAATCACACTAATCCAAAGATCATTCCACGAAGTACTAGCTCTTACGATAGAACATCACTATGGGAGAGTTAAAACAAATGAACAAAATTTCTTTTCAACTACAGGGACACATTCCAGGCATCCAACTTAACTTAATTTCTCTCTATCCTTTTCTTTATATACACAGAATGTCCCATATAAAGTGTTACAAGCTGTTTTCTCGGATATCGACTTCATCTTTTCGCTACTAGACAGTCTAATCTTGTAGTGCGCAATCAGTTTGTTTGCAGTGAGTGTTGGGGAAGGATAGAAGACTTGATAAACTTTTTTCGATGGAAGGTAGTCCTTTGGATAGCACTTGTGAAACTGACTAACATTTGCTCGAACCATTTTCTTATAATTACGAATAGTTGTTAATGTGTGCCGAATAGCATACTATTGGTAGCATTACGCTTCCCAGCACACATAATTTAATGTACTCTACCTAAGTACATAATCATATTGTTCTATACTAGCTGAGGATTTTTCCTTCTGTAAATGACACAAGGAGACTAATGTTTTAGCGTGTCGAAGGAAGTGAATTTGTATCGTAGCTTTCACTAATAATAACTTTGTATCGAATTTAGATTAGCTGGCCGATGTACGTTTGTATGCTGCGCACAATTGGCACTAAATGAATTTGTCCGAGAATAAAGTCGAAAGCAAAGGATATATTTAATCAATCCTATTAAATCAACAAGGGAGAACGCCATTCGAGTCGAAAGAATGCTAATATTTGGGAATCTGTTTTACGGATTCTGAATGTTTAATATAAATGCAACAGTATATCCTTCAAACCATATTTTTGACAATATTCGTAAAAATAGGTCAATCTACATACATAATAATAATAATAATAATAATAATAATAATAATAATAAAACACAGGACGTTCTAGTAACATACTGTATAATAAATTGTACAAAGTAAATCATAATCGATTGAATGGTATATCTAAACATTTTTGTGAGAAAAATACAACGATACGTATCATAAATTCTTAAATTGACGTGAAATTGACCGATAACGTTTGTTAGTTACCTTTTAGAAATCTATATAAATATTTGTAAGACACATAATGTACTTGATAAGTAATATAGTACCGATGACTACAGTACCCACAGTTATGCGTCAACTTTACTCGCAAACAAATGCAACTCAAAGATTTCTTTTAAGGAAAGGTTAGACAGAATTATGAATTAATTTTAGCATGCAGTAGCTTTTTTCATTGCCTGATCACAGGACAGATTGTATGCAAGTTTATATTATAAATGGTCGTGGAACTTGATAGCCTTGGCAAGTAAAAGTTTAAATTCAATATAGATACTTAACTAGAATGTTTACTGTTCACTGTTTACACACTGGTAATTCATCATCCTATTTACCTAAATTTTAACAAAAAGGGAACGAATATATGCTCGAGTTGGTTGTCAATGGAATTTATACACAGGGTGAGCCACATCAAGCGTTACAAGACTGAAACTAATGAAGATACTTCATTTTTGCTACAGTTACACAGTGCAGGGAGTCTAATCTTGTAGTGCGCAACAAAACTTTTTGTAGCGAGCGTTCGAGAAGATAGAAGAAGACCCTCGTACATTTTTGTTATGAAAAGGTGATTATTTGAACAGAGTTAACTTTATTGTAGTTATTTTAACACATATTTAACGTTATAATTTTGTAACTATGCAGAATAAAAAGAAATGGTTCGAGCAAACGTTATTCGATTATATAAGAACTATCCAAATAATCCCATTCTGTTAATACAAACTTGAGGTTCTCCTTATTCTCTAATGCTCGCTGCAAAAAAAAATGTATTGCACGCTAAAAGATTAGACCCCTTGTGCTGTTCAACTGTAGAAAAGCGTAGTTTCTGAGAAAACAGCTTGCAACACTTTATATGGGACACTCTGCATATTATCGTGTACTTTTGTTTTCATCTTTGATGCAGAATGTACAAAGTAGAATGAAATTGTAAGAAAACAATTGGAACATGATGGGATAGATGTGCACACATTGGGTCGATAAAATGTTCGTTGTAATAGTAAAATTTAATATATGACTCGCATATATGACGAAGATGCACTCCTAAACGTGCTATATGCAAGCAGTTAAATCATGCATGAAATAAAAGACAAGACAACGAAGTAATCGCTCTACAGAATAAAAACTTAACACAGATATATATGCAGTTCAAATACTTTTAGTTGGAATATGCTCTTCGAAAACGAGTAAACGAAACATGATATAGATTGTAGTAGACCGTTGAAAATATTATACTATATGTATACATGCAAGTGAATATGTACCAAATGCTAATCTTCCATTTGATTATGTAATTTATGGAAAAGTTAACGTTAAAGAGAACATATTCCAGCGATGATATTTGATATTTACTGTTTGAAAATTCTAATGTAGCACGTGTCATTTCGACAAGGATATTCTTAGGCAACTAGGGTAGTAATCTGGTAGTAAATGTTGTAACTGTGGAAGATACGTTGAAAGTATCAAAGTTTGGAGGCACGGGCAATCAATGTGAATCCGTGTCTCGTTTCAAGAGTCGGAGGTGCGAGTATCTTTTGATCAAGCAAGCAAGGCTTCGTATTCGAGGCCAGGATATGATTACCAGGGACATTGTTAGTCTTTTAGCTTGTAGGATTGTTTGTTAGACAAAACTTACTTATGTTAGTAAGTAAGATTAGGGTTGGGGCCTAGGACAGGTCGTCGCCGCCCCGCGGATACGACAGTCATCGAGCCACGTACTGTCCCCCCATCATATCTACGGGCAACAACAAGTATCGTTTAGTTTGCGCAGAAAATAAAATATATACCTTACAGCGTAACACTATTTTAATTATTTAACTAGTCGTCAAAGGTCTGATACAATTACTAACGAAACAGGTTTTACGCTCACTGTGTTAACAATGGTCAAGACAATTTTTTAAAAACATAAATATTAACAAATGCAATTTGCCAATTTTCCATTTATTCTATTCGTACTTCGTTTCTTTCATAAATTATAATAAAAGAGAAAGTTTCTTATTTTCTGCACAAATTAAAGGCCTGCCTAAATCTTCGATGCGATGGAGCAGTTCCTTGAAAAGTTCATTCGTAGTCAATTCGACATGATGTTAATTCGTTGAAACTGAAGTAAGAACTATTTTTTTTTTTTCAGAATATTCTAGTTTAGACTTTACTTCGAAAAGAAAAAAACTATACGAGACAAGAAAATTTCAATGACTCCCTCAATCTGTTACGCGAGATAACAAAAGTAGCGTACAGTATTGAAATTATTTCTGAGCGATACGTAGCGTAACTTTTAAGATATCTATGATTATTCACAGTATTCGATCGAATACGTGATACAATCATCGTATATTTTGTATGGTAACACGTGGTTTTCTTTCCATGAATAATTTTCTTCAAGTAGCAAAGACAGATAATAATGGAAAATACTCTAATCAGACAATTTCAATGTGAAATATAAAAAGAAAAAGGATTAACTGTATATCTACTATATAATATCCTCTCATCAAATAAATTGAAATTAATATGGTACAGTTCAAACTCTAGCGAGTGTCTATTTAAAAAGACTATGACCGTAAGCGACACGATCTTAACGTGTCGAAATATGTTAACTAGGAACAAGAACCGATAGCATCCATCAAAATGTCAGATACACGCGTAAAATGTGTTATTAAATCAAAAATGACACGTTCTTTCGATTAAAACTTTGTTTAAGAAACAAATTCTGGAATCTTACCATGATCCTGGCTCATCGACACTACTGCCGGGCTCGTGTTAGCACTGTTGGCAGCAGCGATATTCGTGTTGGTCCCCTCGTCGGCTGTTCGCTTAAAGAAATTGTGCTGAAGCGCGTAATAAGGTGTCACTCTTGTTTTCGGATCAAAGTCCAGCATCCGCAGAATTAAGTCTTTGAATTTGAGGTAATCGGAGATTGAATGACCAGGTTCACCTATCCTTCTTCCACCAGGGCCTCCGTTTTCGACGCCTAGGATATCGTGCAAGCGTCTAGTGCCGGGAGGTTTGTACCTTTTGTCCTTGATCTTTTTCAGCACGTACGAGCCATCCGTGGGGACTTTGTCAAAGTATTTCCGCGCTTTATGCGCTTGGTCCAATATATGTTTCGGCGGCATTCCTAGTACTTCTACGATTTTATTCATTTGATCGACCTGTAGACAAAACCGAAACGTTAAAATTACGTTTGAATAAGCATTTAAGTAGCTAGCATTCGGCTAGCTTCCTCAGGTTTATGTCTGAATCGGGCTACGCTTACATTTCCACTGATGTATCAGTGCATGATTTTACTCCTGAAGAAGCCAGCTGCAACGATAGCGAAACGAATATAATACTTTAACCAAATTTTCACAGACTTGTTTCTATTACTACAAGTAATAACTCTGCCAAATTTTAAAGCATTTCGTCAATTTTTCGTCGGAGTTATGAAAAAACGTAACGACGTAATCGAACTGGATGAAGTTATGGAAGAATGGCGATGTTGAAATGTAACATTCGTTACCTCATTGGCCCCACTGAACAGAGGTTCTCCCGTATGCATTTCAACTAAAATACATCCTAGACTCCACATGTCTATCGCAAGGTCGTAAGGTATTCCTAATAGAACTTCAGGAGATCGATAAAATCTGGATTGAATATATTGGTATATCTGAAAACGTGATTAGTAACAATTAGTTTTTCAACCTTTACAAACAGTGGAATGCCGTGTACGTTGTGCACTCACTCTCTGTCCAAGTTGACACGAACTACCGAAGTCCACTATTTTTATCGCGCTTCGTTTAGGATTGCATAAAAGTATGTTTTCAGGTTTCAGATCACAGTGAATGATGTTCAATTCCGGTGTAGACAGGAACAAAAGGGCAGTACACAGTTGCTGTGCAAACTTCCTTGTTAAGTTCAACGACACTCCTCGAAAATTCGTATTTCTAAGTAGATCATACAGATTATACGATAACAGTTCGAATACCAGACATAAGTGATTTCGCCACATAAAATGCCTCTTTAGCTTAACTGGAATTCAAAACAGTTGTTTTTATACAATTTCATCGGTGATAGAATAGATTGCGACGTAAAATATCATTAACCCTTTTACTAAGAACGGCGTATATATCGAAGATTAGATTCAGAGAAATCAATTTTAAAAAAATATCACGTTACAGAGAATGACACGAACAAACTTTTTTATATTTACAATACAATTTTGTATATTAATAATTTATAAAATATATAAAGTTTATTAATATTTAATTGTAAATGAGTACTTATCAGATGCTTTTCATTATCATTCTCTACAAGGTGACATTTTTTAAAACTCGACTGTTCCTCGCCCCTTGGGATTTCCAGCAAAAAATCGTGCCGCATTCAAAGGGTTAATTTCAGGACCAGCGCGACACAAACCTATATAATATTTGTTCTCGGTATCCGCCCTATTCATCATTTCTAATAGCCTCACTTCGATTTGCGCTTGATTTAGAAAAGGTTTTTTGTTCTTGATAATTTTTATTGCCACTTGCGTTTGTTCTTCGTGATCAAACGCTTTCACTACTTGGCCGAAGCTGCCTTTACCTGCAAGCGTAACAAATTTTCAATCCATAACATTCCATTAAATTGTTAGTTTATTTGTATTCAATATACATATAGGGTTTTATTGTGACGGAATCGAAATTGTAATGACATTACAATTAACGAAACGTAATATCTTACCTATTAACGAATCGATCTCATAACGATCGAGGAACTTTTCCCCATTCTTGATAATGTAATCATGATTATCGTCATCCCAGCCATCGTTGTACAATTTTCTTTCCTTTTTATGGGAACCATCTTCTCCTTGCATTTGTTGCGCCCTTCTTTTTTTCTTAGCGTAATAAACCTGTAAACGTAAACAAATTAACAAACGTAACGTAGAAAAATGTTGGACGTTATACAAGGTGCCGCATAGAAATTAATCTACGCCTCTTAGAGTTTCAAGCAAAAGTCGTTCCCCAGGTCAAAGTGTTAAATTCCCTGACAATTGTCACTTTGTGGCCCCTCTGTTACTATAGATGTAGATATAGATATAGGGGTGGAAAATTGTTGAAAAGCGTCCGTCACCTCATTGATGTGTTTGTAAGTTTTGATGAGGTCGACACTGAGCTTTCTAAGGGGTGCGGTGGCTGGATCACGAAACCTATGGGGTATCCTGGCTTGCATGGCGTGAATGTCCGCAGGAGTTTCTTGGGGGACCCCACCGGCTCCTCCACCTACGCCAGTGCCCCCGCATACCGTGGGGGGCAGGGGTTCCTCTGCTACTAGACGACCATAGAGAGGTGCGCCACCACCGCCACCCCCGCCACCACCTGTTCCCGCCCTCCCGCCTACTGAAAATCAAACATCACACAATTAGTACAAGTTCGTAAACACAGTTCATTTTTAACGAGTACATGAAAAATCATTGTTACGGACAATATTAGTTTCTCATGAAAATCGACAGGTGGGACCCCCTTGGGAATTCTTAAAAAGATTTTTCTCACCATTTTTAAAAAATTGGTACTTCAGTTTAGAGAAAAACGTTCTGTATGTTTTTTTGTGGGATTCCATGAGGGATCCACAAGGAAAAAAGTTTCGTTCCAAAATGTTCATTACTAAGGTAGCTATGAATTTTTGAAGATTAGGTGGATTTTAGGTATTTTTCCCAAAATGAACTAAAAAATAGACTCTTTCGATTGTTCGATACTTTTTAAAAGTTTTTTCAAATTTTACTCGAGAACACTGGCCAAACTACAACACACAGTATACGATACTCCTCCCTTGACACGCGAACATAATTCTTTCGCGTGGAAAATGAAATAGTAATATCGCGTCAGTGTAAACAATATCGATGTTGTAATAATGTAATCGCGCGAATCGAGCGAAATGTCCGGTGACTTATGGACGGGGGTGTAGGTGAAAGTCAATCTATATCAGGAAACATGAATGAAGCGGAATGCGTGCTGGTTATCGCACGACCTGTGTTAGACTTCGTGACCTCGTTGCGTGAATTCTCAATTACATGCACCGTAACATTGCACATACGTGCTTTGCATACCGTGGTTAAACTACTTTTAAGTAGACTTGGACTTCTTAGTATCGAGAGCTAATCAAACCTACGTAACTTGACGTTTACTAGATCTGAATTGGTTAAACGGTTAACCCTTTGCGGTTCACATTTCTTCGTTACATTCTTGTCGAGGCTAGCTCGACGTACGACCGCGAAGGACCAACACGTTCCATTTTTATTTTAATGCCGATAATAGTTTTCGAAACTCTAAGCTGTTCAAGGTTGCCTAACGATTGATAGCAACAACAAAAAGAATTGCTGTTAAATTCGTGAAAAAAAATTACAGTTACATGAATTATAATAGTATTTCTATATTCTACTTTGTAATACTGATTCGAGTACAGTAGGTAAATCATAAATAGTCCTCGAACTTTTCGAAAAGTGTTGAAATATCGCAAGAAAATAATTGAAATTCGAGGGAATCGAATCGAATGAAGAGTTTTAACGTTGAGATATTCAGAAAGCGTGCGTGGAACCATGCGCTTGTATGCATTGCGCAGCTAGACAAAGACAGATGGACACTTCTACCTATCTCTGTCTACTAACGCACGCGCCGTAGAAATCAGACTGTGTATCATTGACTTTGAATTAGCTCTGTACATTACGAATTTATATAACGTATACGGTTGTTATGTTACGCATTTAAACAATTTACGTATTCTGTAACACTAGTAGCGGACAAATGTTACAAGAAAACAATTGAAAGCCGACCGAATTTAATGTAATAAAGAGTTAACGTTGCTAAGGCGCGAATAACGATGTACTCTTACGCGTGCGCTGCTAGACAAAGACAAATAGGGTAACGCAGTTTTCCTTCCCTTTTTACCCGTGGTACCCCTACTCCGTCTACCATATATTTTTATGGTTGGGGTAGTCTAGATTTGGCTTAGGGTTAGGTTAGTTCTGCAGTGTGTTATTTGATCATAAAGATATCAACACATGTAAGTAAATCTGACCCTGTAAAAATGTTCTAGAATCGAACCTTCGGTCCTTATATTCTAATAACGTCTCCAGAACACATGTGTCGTGTCGAGAGGTGCTTGTTCCAACGTAGATTTTTTTTTCTTCGAACGTGCTAACATATTAAAAATATACGTTCAAAGCGTAATCGCAATCGTGAAAAATTTACGCCGACATTCCTTGTAAAAACGATAAGCAACGTGTAGTGGACTAAAAATGATTGCTAGCCTTAGGTCACATGTACGTACAAGCTATTCGATATTACGTACACAATGCTATTGTTAACGCTCTACCGACCAGTGGTTTGTTGATCAGCTTTTCGCTAAGACAACCATTAAATATCTTTGTAACATCATTTTAATTGTTTTAAATATAAATTGTTATCGATACAAGATTTTTTTTTTTTTTATGGAACGTTGATATTGAATAGAAATTGAAAAGTTGCTTCTTAAAGGAAACAAATTAGACTATGTTCTTAATCTTTAAAAAATTCTTAAACCGTGTACACTCTAAGTACGCAATTTAAAAAACAAAAATGTAAAATGTTTTTTCATTGAAACAATTTTTAATTGTTACCGAGTTATTTTCTGTTTAAGGTCCAAAAGGCCCATTCTCATCCATCAATTTTAAAATTGGCTGACTCTGCGAGAATAAAACTGGACTGGGCGAACTTTAAAGCGGTGCCGCACGCGAACCGTGCGCACGTGCGTTTCCTTGTTAGGGGTCAACAGGCCGATTGCCACGCCAGTTCCTCGTACCCAGAGAAGTCCTCGATATTTCTTCGAATTATACGACAAAATGACGACTGAACTTACTTTTATCGAAAGGAAAATATTGGAACAAATCGGAAACGGTGGACACTTTAAATGGATCAGTTGGAGTAAGATAGCGATACATTTGTTGAAATAAATAAAATTGTTGGGGCATTACGACTGTTTATGAACGAAATATCGCAGTCACCGTTATCAAGATTACGGGTAAACTCGTGAAACTGTACATTCCAATGACAAATACAAAGCGAGAGAGAGAGAGCTGGGTTACCACCCAGCACCGTTTGCTTTTCTTTCTTTCAGAACAGTGTGCGTACGATACATTCGAACAGAGTACATTGCCATAACAGTTTGCACGTCTAAACAAGCGTATGATAAAGAAAAAACGAAATGCAAAACGCATTATAGGGAGGAGGAAAATATAAAAATTGAAGATGGTTGGTGAAAGGAAAATTTAATAAGGAGAGAAAGAGAGATTAGAAGAGAGGAGAACGAGAATAGAGAATAGAGAATAGAGAAGAAAGAAGAAAGAAGGATTTTTGGTAAGCGTTTGGTAAGGAGCGAGGAGTAACGCGTAGCGATGCGACGCAGGATCCATCCTGCAGGACAACAACGCACAAAAAAGAGCTCGACTGGAGGAAGAAGGAGACGGGGCGGGTAGAGGAAACAGAAGAGTGGATAAGGGCAGCCGGCATAGCAACAGAAAGACAGCTTCGAAACGAACAGTTGAGCGGTTCTGGTGCTGTTGCCGTTGGTGTTGCTCGCTCTTGCTGTTACCGTTACCGACTACGGGGCCTATGCTCTACGACGCGCATGGTAAAGGAGGGAGGGAGGGGAGGTGAAGAAGGACGAGGTGGAGGAGGAGGAGGAGGAGAGTGGGAGGGGAGGAAACGGGAAAGTTGGCGCGCATGTGTGCGTGTGAATGAGATAGGGGGTGAGCTAGCAAAAGAGGAGAGTCGCGTATTGATCCTGTCGCGCGGGGGTGGAGCGACCGCCGACCGACTGGCTGGTCTGTCTTCTATACTAGCGCGAGTCGCGAATTGCGAGTTGCGACAGGAGAACGAGACGGAAAATACGAGAGGAGAGAGTAGCCCTTACAGGACAGGGGCTCTCGCCTCTGTCGGCTCTGTATCAACACCACAGACTATGATAGAATGCATCGAAGCCGCGCGAAGACGTCGCGTTGGCTTGAAATCAGGTGACCACGACTTATACCAGTTATTCGCTCTTAACCCCTACCCCTACCACCCACTCTCGCCGACTCACCCGGCCTTCACGCGTTTTATCTGCTTCAAAAAAAAAAAAAAAGAAAAAAAGAAAAAAAAATGGGAGAAAGTGATTATTTGAAGTACGCATCCATCTTTTCGGCGTAACCTTCAGACAAATCTGTCCCTATCCTCCACATGATCTTCCGCGTTTACAGGCAGAAGAGAAATTGAACGAATCGCGGAAACCTATCTTGAAAAGTATCTCTTTTGATTGTTTAAGCGATTTGTGGAAAAGAGAAACGAACGTTGATGGTTGGTTTGTTGCAGGACGTGCGAGTTAACACTGCTTTAAAAATAATTTCAAAATTCCATATCGAAATTATATCATTAACCTTAACGTAATGGTTGTGACCAAGTCTGCTACGTATCAACACCATAGCCTACGATAAACTAACGAACTGGTCTGCCCTGGGCCTAAAATGTTTTTGATAAATGGAAAAAAAATATTCAGTGCGTAAAGTGTCTCTGAATACCGAGAAGACAGTGGAATCTCGATTATTGCAGGAAATAGGGGCTGAAAGTACTGCAGTAATCGAGGTTACCAATGTGACGAGTAGCGCCCCTTGGTATATCCTCATTGTTTATGGCCCATACGCAGCGTTTGCAACCATACTTGTTGCTTAGCGACCATTCCCTTCGCTTCTCGACACCATGAATCTGGCTATCGTGCAATAATCGAGGTTCCATTACCAAATAACATCCCGATATTTTACTTGGAATTTATTCGAAATGGAAGAACTCGAAAATCGGTATTTCAATGTAACAAAATGACGAGTAAGTGTTTCCTACTTAAGCCGGAGTTACAAATACTCGAATGTAAATGAAAACACAAACTGTTTTTCTGCCATCCAAGTTCAACGCCTGCTAGAGTGCTCTAACCGAAGGATACATCGAATGTAGTTGGAAGAAAGAGGAAGAAAAAGAAGAAGACAAAGATGCAATAGCAGAGGGACAGACTGCCAAGTCGAAAATACATATCAGTTGAACGGTCTAGCTTAAAGTCTTTAAATTTTTCGAGAGTCGCTGATCAGGCATCAGTCCAAAAATGGATCCCATTACGGTATCGCCGACGTTCAATCGTTGCTTATAATCCGACTTTCTCTCCTCTTCGAACATAAATCTCGATCGATAGCCGGTCTAAATGAAAAAACCTTTTGGTTCCTACTTCTTTACCGAATTCGTTAATTTATTTCAACATTACCTACACTCTCTACGTGTTCTCGCAGAATCTGACGAGCACGACTCCTATTTCATTTTTATTTATTGTTATTATACTCTACGTGCCCTCTACGCAAATTTTCAATAGCCAAATTTCACGTATTGTCGCGCTTGTACGTATGCGTTGCTAGACAAAGACGGATAGGGTACCGTGTTTTCTTTCTCTTTTTAATTGTGGTACGACTGTGATGCCAGTGGTTGCTCCCAACTCGCGCATGTGCGCTGTTATTTATTTATTTATTTATTTTTTTTGCGTCATTAGAGTATCTAATGCGACCATAATAAAACTCGTGCCCTTAGTCGCCTCAAACAATGATATAATACAAGTTTCAAAGAATTGGGACTACGCATCGTTTCCTATAGTTACAGTATTGCGCGATCAGCTCTTCTCACTTCGCATGCGCGAGTTGGAAGCAACACTGGCATCACACTCTGGCTCCTCTGCTCTATGTATAACATCTCTATGGTCTCCACACGTGACGATTTGTGGTTATCAGTGGATGCACAGTTTTTTTCGAACTTTCTTTTCGTTTCATCGGTTGAAATTATTAACTGATTTTTATAGAGATGGTGTTAACGAAATTGAAAAAATTCAAAGAAATTATATTTTAAATGTTCCTTTAAGATAAGATATTTAGGACATTGCAGGTGGAAGTCGTATCTTTTGGATAAGATAGATGATATTTATACCTGTTTCTGCTGTGATCGAACTAAGATACTGTTAAAGTGTTAAAGACACTTTGTTTTCAATCGAATACAAAAATATTTCACGTGCTACTAAACTGAATAATGCCCGAAACAATCGTATATAATTTATGCATTATGTATACAAACTTTATATAAAAGTTTGAAAAGGGTCATTTGACCTGCAGTGGTAGATTTAGTGTTGATGGTACTATCTCTGTTCACGTTTCTCTAATTAACATTGTTCCAACAAGTGGTCAGTTAATCGGTCAAGTTTTTATACAGTCCACTCGTGTGGAGTGCCAGTAATGTTCGAGATAAAAATTTGAAAACAGTTTGTTTGGTCGTTTGAGATCTAAATAGGTTATCAAAAAAATGATTGGTTGTTGATGTTAGCAGTGACCCCCCTTGACAGCGAAACCGAAAGTTTCCGTGAAGGGTAAGAGTGAATAAAAAGATGAAAGTGAGAAATGATAAATTCGAAGGGATAATTATTTCTATAGTTTGGACCAAGATACTTACATTGTTGCTTATGCCTGGATTCCATAAGGATCATTTGTTCGTGTTTGTGCCACGCAGCATCGGTAGTATCTGTCCCCGCCATACCCCTCGCAGCTGCGGAGGGTGGTTGGACACCCCCACGGCCTCCACCGCCTCCACCCCCGCCGCTTCCATACTCCATACCAGCGGCACCCTTACCCTTCCCTCCCTCCCACCCTTTCACTTCTGCCCCCGGCAGTCTTCAGACGCTCACAACATGGGGCACGCCAGCCCTCTCAATACCGCTTCACAGCGCGCACCCTCTTTCTTCCTTCCTTCTTTCCCTTCTTCGCCGCGCGCGCGCGCGCGCACGCACACACACACACACACTTATTTTTTCCTCTTCTTTCTTTCTTTCTTTCTTTCTTTCTTTCTTTCCTTATCTTCAACTCTTCTTTCCCAGGTGTTCCTTTTCACGGTCTCTTTCTTCCTCTTTTCTTCCTTTAATCACTACACCCTCTTGTCTTCAGCTTCGTTCCCCTTCCTTTTCTATGTTACTCCAGTTTGTCCCCTCTCTCTCTCTCTCTCTCTCTCTCCCTTTCTTTCTTTCGTTCGCACTCTCTGTCCTTGGCTCTCGCAAAAATGTCTCAATCTTTTCGAATCCAAGCAATCAGCGGACGAAACGCAATCGATTTTGGACAAAGAACGCGGAAGTGAAACTCATCGATATATCAACGTTTGCATCACTTACTTCTTCATTTTGCCCCCTCGTATATTCCTCCTTGTATCAACGTTCCAACGTTTTCGTGTACCCTTGTAAGAGAGAGAGAGAGAGAGAGAAAGTTCCCGGAACTTTCTTCCGTTCGAGAACTCGTAAACGTCTTCTTGCTCGTTTTCCCTCGGTTCGACCTGGATGTATCTCCTTTTCTCTCATACGAAAAATAACTCTTATTTACAGATACACTGAGTCCTTTTTACTTCTCGCTCTCTCTCCCTCTCTCTCTCTTTTTATTACGCGATCCAGAAATGCGTGCACACGCTTTCGGTTACCCCTCTCACGGCCGATCCCTCTCGTTTGGAACTTTCTTCCCGTCCTTTCAACCAACTTCTCTAGCCTTACGCGACTGCGGAATCGGCGCACCTTTTCTTCGCTTATTTCGAACGCTACGAGCGTTCGCTAATTCTCTTGGTTTGCGAGTACTTCTTCTTTGGGGAAAGATACGTCATTCGATTTCGCTCTCAACGTCCATGATCCTCGATGCTGGTGTCTGAAATCAGACCGGAAGAATAATTGTTACTATGCCATTCTCAAACCTATTGGAATTGTTTCTGCTATCGTTCTTCCGCCAGTTAGTTTCGCTGTTCTAACTTGAACCCGGTTTGAGTTATCGTGCCCACCCCACAGAACCATTTCTTTCTTTTTTTTTTTTTCAGACGCTCCACTGAATCGTCCGCCGAGCCGGCATTTTTCCACGAACGAAAAAAATATAAAATGATTTTCTAGCCGAATACTTATACGTACAATACATTAATGCACTTCGATGTAAATGAAATGATTCTTGTTATCGCTTTAATAAAACTTTGGCTGGGTGTAAGTGTTTTCATGAGATTTCAAGGTCATCGATGTGTTTATTTTTTCCAAATAGTACGCTGCAATTTAAAAATTGTTACGTAATAGGAACCGTTGAAATGATTTCAGGATGCCATTGTACGAGGTCATTCAAGGTCTCTCTCTCTCTCTCTCTCTCTCTCTCTCTCTCTCTCTCTCTCTCTCTCTCTCTCTTACTGACAGTGCGAAGCCTTTGTTCAGCAAACGTTTAACCCTACAGTTGTCTGCCGCGTGGTCAGACGATCGTGCCTACTACTCTCAGGAGATCTTTTCATTTTTAACTTTGAAAAGATTCATTTTTTTTTTTAATTTTACGTTCTCTAAGTAAATGTTGTCTTAAACAAATGTCGATCAGTGTTCGATTGGCTGTACATTGCAATAAGACGAAGTTCGAAAAAAATTATCTTGTTCAGCATGGTCAAGGTCTCCTTCATCTTTTTAAACGGCACTTCCGATCGTGCAATTAGTGCTGACACCGGTTTATCCGAGAGTTCAGTTCTTAGGATCATAAAAAAAAAAAAAAAAAAAAAATTATCGTCCATACAAAACGAGCAAAGTACAACGTTTACGCGAAACTGATTCACGTCGCCTTCATTTCATATCTTGGCTAGTGGTTTCATACGAAAGTAATCCTTAAATACCAAACTACATTCTATGGCAGGATCAATGCAAATTTTCTAATAATTGAGTGATTAACGTTCTAGAACAATATTTAGAACTAACTTTTCTTTATGTAGAACAACCTCTCAAAACTCTAAATTGATCAAAAAGGTACGCCATATTGAAAGAAGTAAAAATCCAAATTTTTTTTTTTTTTTTAAATATAGAAATCGATATATTTCTTTGAAACAACAGAAGCGAATTTTATTTGATTAATTTATAAGCGCAAATAATACCAAACGTTGAAAACGATAATGTGAAAACGATTTTTTTTTCATTAAACTACTGGAATATTCAAAAATTAATGATAAACTATATACTGATGTTAATAATTTTACTTAAAATATCCTATTGCAATTGTAAAACGTCAATATAAATATTGTCGTCAATATATTGAGTGTGAGAATGAGTTCAACGAATGCATGGATGACGACAACCTGAGGTGTGAAAGAAGAGTGTTTGGACCGCGCGACAGTTTGAAGTGTGACTGGAAAATAAACGCGTGGAATCGAGCAAATGTTTAGGGTTAATTTACTCTCTTTTATTACAGAGTTCGACAAAACCCTAGATTACGATTACCTGAAGTTTGCTAATATTGTTTGTCTCGTTTCCTTCGTTTGCAAAATGTTCAACAACTCGCTAGTGTCGACTTCTTCTTGAGATCCTCTCTATAATATAATTCTCTTTTTTTGTTTTAACAAGTAGATCTTAAAAAGATTTAAAAAGGAAAAATCACTAACGTCAATTTTTTCTCGATTCTAGTGACTTTCTCTTGTAACGCGTAGTAAATTAACCCTTCGCGATTCAATTTGTTTCATTTTTATACATTTTCGTCAAAGCTCGTTCGACACGAGATCGCAAAGCGTTAACACAGCTGACCGTAGATAAAGACTAACGCGATAGCTCATCGATATCGCACTCTAGATATTAAAGATGTAGATGGAAAGTAAATTTGTATTTTAGATTATGGGAGATTGTAGTTTTCTTAGTTAAGTACGTAGTTTAAGTTGGTAATATTTTAATACAACAGGATGGCTGGCAATACTGTACAAACGCGATACAGTTTATTTGAAAATACAATAAAAAATAAAGAATATATTAGGTCTAGAAATTAATTCTGTGCCTTTCTAAACCAAACCTATTTATTTATAAAGAAAAGCCGTACAATTTTGATTTCCCTTTAGTCAGACATTCCAAAAAAACATGTATAGTTGTAAAAACAAAATGTCAAAGGAATCCATAGGTTAAGTTATTATGGAGGTTGGTACTTTAATGTAACAAACTCATGAGTAAATATTTCTATTTAAACTAGTCATGAACGATATACATAATTAATTTCTATGATCACCTATTAATTCTCAAGTACATTTATGATCAGTTAGAAGAATGACAATAGGTGAAATTTGATCATTATTGAACTTTGTGTATAGATGTAATGTCCATCAGGTTAAGACTTAGGTTATATATGTAGATCCATTATAATAGAGATTGAAGATTTAGAAAGTTGGCATTCTAACTCGCCAAGTAATGCAAGTGAATATTTCTATTTGAACTAAAGTTAAAAGCAATTGAATATAAAGGCATAGAATTAATTTCTACATCTAATATTTAACCAATTCTATTCAATAACCAATAATAAGATTATACAATTTAATTTATTCATGAAAATTCTCTATAATATATAAAATTACAAATTCTATTTGGAAAAACATGAAATAAGTCTTTAGACCAAATTTATGTTCACCGTAACCTTGATATATTGGAATATCAACTTATATTATTAATCTAATAAAATGTTTTACATATTATTCACACTTTATTTTAACTCTTAATTGTAATTAACTCTTTCACAGCTTCTAGGACTGAATTCTGAATTTTATATTTCACATTTCAAATAGGTTTCTTCTTTCTTGTATCGTAGATTAAAATTTATAATGACGTATCGATAATTCTGCCATTCTGCTAAAAGTTTATTTTTAAATATAACATTTTAAAAATGGTATAACAAAATTAAACTTGTATACTAACAATATCTAATGTAAATAAAACAATGAAATGAGGATCAATAACAAAATAGGTATTCAGTTCTGTACTGTGGTATGAAAGAATAAAAATACACATCTAAGTTAAGAATGAAAGAAATTGTGCAAGAGAAGATGATAAGTCCACGATATATATGTTTCACCTAACTGAATAGCCTAAGATAATTCTTTTATTTTCTCAAGCGAATAGGCAAACTGTACACAAGAATTGTTTGTGACGATGCATAATGTTTTTAACAATATTCCTATAGAGCTTAACAGTGAATTTTGATTGTAATTAATAATTAAGTTTTGAAATATTGAAATACAATTGCCAATGGTTATGTCTTAATAAATTTGAGACATTGCAATATTTTATTCCTTTTTCGATATCTAACCACCCCTTATTCTTTCCTAGTCATATTTTAGCAAAAAGTGTAATTTTTGAGTAAATATTTGTAAATTACAACGTATTTAACACAAACAATACGACGTTTGTATTAATATAAAAGAATCCACTGTCCAACATAGTCTACGCTCTCTTAAAAATGATGATTTCACTATTCCGCTTACAATGGCTGATATGAAACTTGGAATCTATAAATTCAAGTTCTACTGAACTTGGTTTCTTCGTTAATACACATCGTTCGAAATAATAAACGTAACATTGCCAGCAGAAGGAAAGAAATAATCCATGAGAAATTTTTGAGGTTAAGTAAGAACGATTAGTAAGTAACCTAACCTACAAATAGCACTTAGGAGTCATATGATACATAACGTTTACGAAATGGAGATTTTCAACGATTGGAAAAATAAAAAAAAGAAAAAAAAACGATAAAATTTGCTTAATTGTACGCGCGTGAAGAAATAGAAACAAGACGAAACTGTCGTATGTACCTTCCTTCTCGATGGAATACATACGTTTTAGAATATAGAGGAAATCGCGCACAACGAAAAATCGAAGCTCGTGTTTTCGAAAATCTAGATGAAAGAGTTAATAATTTCGTTTGGAAATACCTTTAGTTGAGAAGGAGAGTTTTGATTAAAAACTGAAAATGCTAGAAAGCCCCCTCCTAAATCTCACGATAGGTCCTGTTTTCCTTCCATTCCCTCTCGTTCTCTTTGTCTCGAGTAACCGTTTAAAATGTATGCATTCGCGAGAACAAACTGGCTATGCTTACGGACAATAATTAGATATAAAAGTTTCGACTCACCAGGTATATTTCATTGTCACACACTTGGCCGAGTACTGTCAAACACTCGATAAAAAGTACAAAGTACGGGCGTAATATTGTTCCTAGAACACCGTTCGACCGTTACTGTTAGCGTCCGTATAGTTTCACGAAAATCCGAAATTGCTCGTTCGTCCCGTTTAACGAGATCATCCAACCTCTTTCATCGATTCTTGGTTGAGATCTCTCTCGAATCACGCCAAGGGACGTGCTCGACACGTTTCGCTTTGGCAATCAACAATGTGGCCGCGATAATGGAAAAATAAACAGATCGCGACGACGAAAGCGAGTATTAACCGCGCATGATAAAATTCTTCTCCGTAAACAGCGCTGAAGAACCTTGGCAAATGTAAGCTCGACGTACGATTCCCACGCCCCTGAAGTACCGACCGTATTTCACACGTGGGCACTTGTATCTTTTCGTGAATACGAGCGGTTAAAATGTCGGACTCCCACACCACCACCTTCGACGATTACACGTAACGGTTAAAACACCGTGCCGACACTGTACCGATGACACTAGGCGCACACTGAACACCAGGCCACGATTATTTCGAGTTATCACCGGCGTACGAAAGCACCGAACCAACAATCACGCGAAATATCACGCGTACCGCGATTAATCCATCCATTTGTCCAGCTAATCACCTGTTACGAGCTGTGGCGCAGGCGGAACATTGAAAACTGAAAGTTTTCGGTTGATCCGGTAGCGCTGAGACGCACGGTACGAACAATCACGGTTTCTTCGAGAAAATAATAACGCGCTGTTTGTCGAGCGTTAAACACAAAGATAGACGGGACGGGACGCGCACCGTCGGATAAAGGGTTCGGGTTCGAGCACGAGGAAAGAGGAAAAAACGTAAATGGCTACCGTTTGTTTTCTGTCATACGTTGATTCGGTTGATTGTTCTTATACGAGTACGTTGAATCGGGTTTAATCGGGTCAAATCGGGTGAATTCAGGTTATGGCCATCGGGGAGTCGAGCATGCTTTGCATGACGCGGTTCAACGACAGGTATATCACGTGGTTGGTCGCGTCCTTTCCGAGTGGCAACGTCACACCGATGTAGAGTATAGAGAGTCCTTTAGAATCGACTGCTGTACGAGTTGGCGTTCTCGTGGTAGACCAGCGGCAGGGTTACCGTCGAGAGGTTGCCGACGAGCGACGAGTGGTCGTCGTTCGGCAGCGAGAATAGGCGTGCTCGTTTCAAGAACGTGTCCGATTATCGTTGGGATCGAGCACGTACACTAGTAACACGCTGCATATACCATATCGTGTTCTGGCGCCGTCGGCGCTGCTGCTGCGGACGGAGAAGGCCGGAGTAATAAAACTGGCTAACACCCCCGCGGAAGCACTGCAATGAACTCGCCCGGTTCGAAGGGTCAAAAGCACCGCGGCAAAATAATAACAGAACGCAGCCGCCACCAGCGTCGTCGTTGCCACCGTTATCGTCGTCGTCTTACGGGTTGGGGGGTCAGCAGCGTCGCCGCCGCGCCGTCACGAGCAACGAGCTACTCAAACGGATCTGTGTCGTTGTTTCTGCTGTTGCCGCCGCCGCCGCGAGAAAAACGGCGCGACGCCCCGACGCGGCGGATAGTTGTCAAAACAGCACAACGTCGCGCGCTGCTACTGCTGCTAGTGCCGCTGCTGTTTCTTCTTCTGCTCTCTACGTTGCTGCCGCTGCTTATTCTTCTGCTGCTGCTGCTACTGCTGCTGCTACCACTACTACTACTACTACTACTAATGCTGTTCCACCTTCTCCTCCTCCTCCTCCTCCTCCTCCTTCTCCTCCTTTTCCTTCTACTGCTGTTGTTGTTGCTGTTGCTGCTGCTCTTGCTGGTGGTTGTTCGCGGCCGCGGGTTTTGGCGGGTTTCCACGAGCGACGAGCGCGCACACCACTGGCACACACCGCGGCCGCCGTGCATTCACCTCGTCCTCACACCTTGCGCCACCGCTCTCGTTGCCGTCACTGTCGCTCTCGCTCTCGCCGCCGCCACCACTGTTAACGTTATTTTCGGCTCTGTCCTCGACGTCGTTCTCGACCTTACCCTCTCCGATATCTCTTCACCATCAGACTCTCCCAACCAGCGATACCGCGATCGCCTCTCGCCAACTCGAGATCGCGCACCGCGACCAGACCGACGATTCTTTCGCCACGCTACTCTCCGACACACGTGAATATTACACACCCTTGAACTAACCTCGCAGTCCGCCGAACTACCGATTCCTACTCCCGATTCACCGACAAACGCGTGCAAACCGTTCAACGTCCTTTCGCTAGATACAAAATTTGTATCCCCTAATCGCGGAGATACCGCATCTCTTTCACGGGCGAACATGGAGCTCGATCCATGCCGAGTGTTTTACCAAATGTCCGCATCTCCGTTTTGTGGCGCTTCCGATCCCATCTTCCCCTCTCTCCTGCATGCTTTCTCCCTTTTACCGTCGTCTTCGCCTTCGCCAGTTAGCAGGTTTGCCAACAACGACCGTTCGCGATTTCCACTAATTTACACATCATTTTATATATCTTTCTTTCGGTGTTACATGAGTTTCGAGAGTCGAAAAGAAACCACATTTTCTACAAATTTTTTCCAACAAACTAAACAAACTGTATTATTTTAACTTGCGTTGTTCGAAACAGTAACATTTCAACGACATTTCATCCCTATACAGTACATTTCCTTATACACTACCAGTCTTGTTACCACTTACTGTTTTCGTACAACGCGATTTTTGTTCGTACAACGCGCCAAACGCTGAAGCACGGCAATTCATTCCTTCCGTTCAAAAGATTCCACCAAAAGGAAGACGTTGAAATGCATTTTGGATGACTCAAAATAAGTGACTAATCGAGATTACAAAATTTGAATTTTTTTTAAATTGTGGTGTTACAATCGATCGATTTGAATCTTTTTTTATGTAGTCATTGTATGTTCTTCTACATGGTTTGAACAAAAAGTAATGTATAAATTACCATGCAGAAAAATTTTGAACTAAAATACAGCCATTTTTAAGGCACCTTCTATAACTGATTTACAGAAAGGAATTTTACATATAAAATTCATAAAGTTTCGTGTAATAAAGAGGCAAATGTTTATTTTTGATGAAAGACAGAATACCTTCTATCTAATAATAAAATATAGTATTATAAAATGGTATTTCATATAGTATATTTACAGCTTATGTGTTAAAACGATAAAGGTAAATATACTGTTTCCTTCGTAATAATGGAAGAAAAACATTCCTTTACATATTTCTAATAGTAACGTAACGAATCTCATCGATAATGTAAATTAATAAATAAATTTAAAACACTCTAGGTAGCGGACTGTTTATAATTTTTTGTACTCATTAATTTTTTACCGCACATTGCGCATATAGCTTTTTTGTATGCACATGACTGGCAATAATGCGATCCTACTTGATGTACTTTCTGCCTGCATATTCTGCAAGTTGCAAAAGCAGCAGTGTAAGGATTGAATCTAGCCTTTCCTGTGGAGAGTGCTTTATTTTCTCCAACTTTACGTCCTCCGCTTTCGACTGTGTTCCTTGCTCCGCTTTTCCAAGGGTCCGGGGTTATAACTTTTCCCAACTTCTTCTCGCACTTCTCGCAAACCATTCTGAATCGCTCTGAAAATTGTAATTCTTAAATGTATTTTTCTACAAATCCAATTTTCTACAAGAAAAGATTAATCGCAGTCTTTTATTTTTTGGGGAGTGGGGGGAATAGATATCTGTAAATTTATTTCATCGATTGTAAGAAATCAGTGATAGCAAATACCTAACCTTTCAAACACTATACGTCAAAACGAACACTCAAATAAACATTTGTACACATTCTACGACGTTCTTAATGGTTCCTAATAGAGGGCCTTGCGTGAATCCTCTTATTGACTGTAATTGGTTCTATAATGCGTTCATCAAAGCCATAGATTCAATCAGAGTAGATTAATGAAACATGAATGGTATCAGACAAAACAAAACCACGTGACTGCGGAGCACTTTGTAGATTTATGGTGACTTCACTTGGACTTGACCAAAAGTGGGACGTAGGCACTCAACTGTAATAATAACTACAGTACACTATATCGTGTTATATTATTAACTATTATTCTAATACTGGTCAAGTAACAGCCAGTAGCTGCAGAGAGCTGTCGCATCTTTGAGAGCGATAAATGTTGAGGCTCTGGGAGCGGCCACAAAGCGGCTCAGTAAATGGTGGACTTGGGATACCAACCTACCAACAACAATAACAGTGTTATCAAGTGCTAAGCAATAGAAATAACTACAACTAGTAACTTGGTAACTTTCCCGTCTATAATATTATGGGTCTTTGACTACATAAACCATGGACTGATAATTCCCCCACCACTGCACGACGAAGAGAGGTACACAACCGCAATGTCTCTGTCCTTCGCTGTGATGTCGGTGTTGCTTCCAACTCGCGCACGCGCACTGTCTTTTGCATCAGGAGAGTATCAAATACGACTATAAAACTTGGGCCCTTAGTCGCCCTAAAAAATAATAGAGGAATAAAATAAAAGAATTGGGAGCAGACATCGTAATATAAAATTAAGATACGGATTGCAAGATTTAATAGTAAAAATAAGAAAGATGTGAAAATGAAACAGAGATATTATTTTTGAGAACTATTTTCGTAATTTCATAAATGTAATCAGAGGAATTTTATAAGACTGACATATAAGACTGGTCCTAACGAATAAATAACGAATAAATCGAAACGAAAATATATTGTAGAGGTGGTTCGTAGCGAATGTCGCGTATTTCGAACGGGGCCTGAGCTTTAGGGTGATGCGTTGCGAATCACGCGATCAACCCTCTAGTCGAAAGTTGCAAGCAACGACAGTGGGGGCTGGAGGAAGAGGGTTGGAGGAAAATTTGACGCTAGGGGTGGCGTACAGTGGCGTACAAGCGCGGGCGCCATCTGCTCGTTCAGTGGCCGACTATCCTCCGAAGACCTGTGTACTCGCGATTCTATTACCAGATTATTGCGACACTTTGTGTGACAATTTGATTCAGTGTATCGTGCTATAACAAAGTGGCCAGTGCACGCTGCGAAACGGACACAAAAAGGTAACTTCCAACCGCGATTTTTAGCGTTTCGAGGAAACTTTACTCGGGTAGCTGCCATCCTCGATGCCAGACACGCGTTAACGTGTTGGATCGATTCCTCTTTCTCGCAAGTCGTGATGCGATGGGAGACTCCGCTGGAAGACCTGATTACAGCCTTTTACACTTGTTTTACCTTTCGCTCGTGCATTCCGTTTTCACGCATCCGAAATTCTTCCTCGTCTTTCTTCCAAAATGGACAATTGGACGTTCGACCAAGTCAAGTTCACCCTCGAAATCTCTAGATAGATAGACGCCTACGACCAAACACCCTTATTTTGTTTTTCTACCAGACGTTTACGTTAAAATATTCCTCGATTTACGCTCTCTTCGAGCATATACCTTATTCGTATTGTGTACTCCTCCTTTTTCAAAGCAAATGCAAATAAGATTGCACGATCGATTCCTACTCGCGACTTTTTCGTCTGCCACGGGAGATAAATTTGATCTTGACTGACGAAATAAGATTTAGATGCGCGATATTATCTTGCTTTTGTTTAGAACATCCGTGCTTTCGACTCTCTTCTATTCCTTACAATTTAACGATGTCACATTGTTCTGTGGCAGTTTTAAATTCCATATCTCTTACTTGTAATTCGATGTATTCTAATACGTAGGAATATCTGATTCGATAACTAATTTGTAACTGTGGTACAGGTTTCTTGAAACTGACATTATCAACAACTTTTAGGGTGAATTTCGTAAACAGGCAAATTTGCTGACTATGAAATTGTGGATTTTCAAATTTACTTTATAATAAATTCCCAAATGATTCAATTTACGATTAGAATTGTGAAGCGAATAAATAAATCGTTAAAATTAAAATGATTAAATGTATAATAGCTGTATATAAATCAAATTCAATTAGTATTAGCTGTAGTGGAGTATCAATTGAAGTACTAGTTTCTCTAAACAAATTATAAGGCCGCGATAATCTTTAATTTTAACGATTATCATTGAATTATTAATAATTTTGATAACATTCTGACACTAGGGTGTCTAGTTTTATTAATAATCGATTTTCGACGATACAAGTGACAAAAACGATCGTTACCTGAATTTTAGAAACCTAATTTTGATAACCTAAACTTAAGATTCGTACGTCAAGGATGTAAGATACTAAAAATATTAACTACATAAATATTAATTGAAAGTTACAGTTACCTGAATTACAAAATAAAAAGGTATTACCTTAACAGATACACAAATACAAGTTTCAAACTGAATTTATAAATTTATAAATTTACGAATTCCACACGCCTAGGAACTCGATTATGCAATTTTTGTTATATAATTAGAAAATTAAATACGAAAATAATATCGGTGAATTTAGTAAACGTATAACACTATTACAATTAAATTGAATTTACGATTTAAAAAAAGCTATCTGCTCGACTTATCAAAGTTAGAATTTACCCTTTCAGTTGATTTGAATTTTGAGTTAATCCGCTATCCGACTGTTGGTATGATTTGTGCTCTAGAGCACTGTGTTACCGATATAATTACTTTAGAAATGAAAATGTTTTTTCCTTGCTCTTGGGTTAAATGGATTTTGATCTCTTCGTTAATTTTGCGTGCGATAAACTGTTGCATTGAAACAAAAATTATACATGTCGAATTGAATGACCTCCTTTTCGAAGTCTGTTAAAAAGGAAACTGAGTAGAGAAATAGGTTACGAGTGCGTGGAAAACTGATTTAACTAAAGATAAATGGGGACTGTGACACAGTCACTGCGTACGTAATACGGAATTTTTGTTCGACTAATTTCCTGATTTGCGACATTTTTCAAATGTTTCTTGAAACGATTATTCGTTTTTTAATCGTCGAAGGGACACGTCTGTGCGAAGGGAACCTCCATACCTATTCACATTCTCCAGATTTGAAGTAATTCGGTCAACCGGTCATGAAAACTATTGAGTAAATCCTCGATGCTACATGTTTCTTTGTGAAAACACAACAGTGAAAATAAAAGCCGGCTGAGCGAACTTCAAAGCGGCGCAGAAGCCAATTAAGAGGGTCGAAAAGGGTCGATTTCTATAATGTATCGACCGTTTTCGAGCCTGTTAATGGGCTTTTGCACCGCGAAAGTAGGACCGAAATAAGGAAGGTCGATTCCAAAAACAAAGGGTACGGTTGACTAAGGTTGTCAAAAGTGGTTCGAAACCGAATTCAACTTGCGACAGTTTAATTGAACGGTTATCGAAAATGACTCGAATGGTGGAGGAGGTGGCAGGTCGATATTTTTTTAATGAACTTGCTCAAAAAATACCAATGCACGGAAAAGTAATCCCTGTAGATAAAGAAGAACCTCGATTATTGCATGCGAACCTCGTTCATTGCACGACGTCTATGAGTGGAGGGGATGGTCGCTAAGCAACAAGTAAACTTGGGGGTAGTAGTGGGGATACACTGTGTTTGATTAGCCCTTACGAAAATAATTATATTTGTAGCACTGCGCTCTCGAACGCAACTTATACCAACAATCGGAAAGGGGATTAACTCAAAATTCAAATCAACTGAAAGGACAAAGAGTAGATAGCTTCTTTTTTAAATCGTAATCTTAATTTAATTGTAATAGTATAATACGTTTACTAAATTCGTTTCTATTACTTTGTATCCAATTTTCGAGTTATGGTATGTAATTCATAGTTCGATGAAATAAATTCATGTTTAAACTCGAACTCGTCTGTCTGTTTTAGGTTTGGACTCGACCTAGATTAGGTCTAATTTCTGATTTCAATTTTTGTCGACCCTCGCTCGACACAGAACATCAAACTTAAGTAATTGTTTACGAAGCGATCGCTGATTCAGTAATTATCGTTATTTTCTCTAAAAAAAGAAAATTAGTGGTCCTTTAAAATATTTAAGAACGGTTAATATTCGATTGGTTGATATTTATAGATTGAGAATATCTGCGAGGGTGCAGCACACACTGAACGTGTGCTATACATACACCAGATATTGACACTTTATTCTTCTCGTATCAAAAGTTGAACACCCTGAGAGAAACATGTATCTATGGCAACCTACAGCGCAAGCTTACGCTGCTGGCCAGAAGTGGGGGAATTTGTCATGTTATATGGTTATATCATGGTTGGACAATGCAACACCAGGCCTACGAGTACAAACTCTTGTCGCTGTGTTAAAATGATCGACCATATAAAGCAGTTGATCGAATCTAGGGTTGCGTTACCTCGTTTTCACTGTAAACTAACTTTGAATGATAAATGCTGCAGGGCCGCCTATTTAGGGGATCGTTCCAGGTCACAAAATAATTCCAACTTACAGTTTTTTCACATACTAAACAATTAAGAATAAACGCACCTTTTAAACTAGAAAAAGTAGCCTCGAACATAAATAAATTCACGGTGCAACTACCTTACATTCGAAATCCATTAAATTGAGTTCTATCAGAGGTAAGCTGTACAATAGCGAGACGGACTTAAAATGTGCCGATTGTATCTACTGATGCCAGTGACCTCCTATTGATTCCACGCTCAACGAAGCATACCCTCGACCTCCCTCTCGCCCTGCACATACTTTCTCGTCTTTTCTCTCTTCCCCTTTCATCTTTCTTCTTCTCCTTCTTCTTCTTCTTCTTTGTGTTCCTTCTGTTAACGTCTCCACGTTCTCCTCAAATCCACGTCGCTTCCTTCTTTTTACCTTTGCCTTGTCCTATTTGTTTGTTTTCACCGAACTCGTGTTTCCCCGTTACGCCTTTCTTAGTGTCCATTACGCATCGTATTCTGCTTAAAGCGGACCTATCGAGAACAAATTTTTACAAAAATTACTTGGTTTAAATGGACGAAATATACGGTGTAAATAACTTTGTAACCATGTAACCATGTATTATAGGTCGATGAATTTGTCTAAACGATAAAATATTGCAAGAAAATAATTGCAAGATGAGTGAATTAAATTTAGCAACGAGTTAACGTTGAGGCGCGTGAAAGTATGCGCTGCTAGACAAAGACAAATAGGGTACCGTGTTTTCTTCCTCTTTTTAGTTGTGGTACGGCTGTGATCCAGTGTTGCTTTCTACTTGCGTCAGTAATGTATCTAATACGACTTTATTATAAAACTGGCGCTCTTAGTCGCCCCAAAGAATGATGGAAGTATATAAGAATTGGGACCACGCATCGTTTCCTATAGTTACAGTACTGCGCATTCAGCTCTTCTTGTTCGCATGCGCGAGTTGGAAGCAACACTGGAATCACAGTAGGACTGACCCCCCTACTATAACATTTTGATTAGTATACTATGAACTAAACGCAGCAACGAAGGTGCAAAACAATTTGTACTCCACACCTCGTTTACTTTGCACCTTGTTAATGTTTGTTGTAACAGCATACACAACGTTATAGAACAATATTGGTTATGCATCATACACCAGATTGATTCTACGTACATATACAATGAATATAGTTCCAATGAATTTTACGTGTTCACCATAATCATTTTATAGAGTCCCCAACAAAAATAGCAAAACAACGTTTTACGTTGTCCAAGAGCAAGTTATCCGCGTAGCGTCGTGTATCGAAAATATCAAACGCAGTATATGTATTCAACTATCAATAACTTAATCAATAACTCAGTCGCCAGTTTATGTTTAGGAGTAACCAATCTTATAAGTATCTACTGCATCGTAACGAGAATATTACCAGCAACACATCCATGTGCTTCCAAATTAAATATTTTCCGTCACTTTATCATCATGATGCGTATATTAATAGTTGTATATCATTCTAATAAAGGAATATTAATTTCAACTCAGTAAAGTAACAACATACGTTATTAAATTTTGTTGTGAATTATCTTCAATGTTTCAAAAATCCAGAATAATATTCCTTCTCCAAAAGAATTATTATACATGTTTGAATTCGTCTTTTTATCAGCTACAACGCTACAATAATGAAAATACCTCGTCGCATTCGAGGAATCACCGATGACCTTGAAATTTCGTAAAATATAACTTTGAGATTTTTCTCACGCAGATATATATTGAATAATTAGCAAGGTATAAAAGTTATTTTCAGTAATGATGTTTTGATGTATTGATATGTTGTAGAATGGACAGGCTGTTTAAAGAGATGAATGTGGCGTGGCGATGACAAGCCTGATCTTGGAAAACGCAGACTTGAACCGACTTTTCCCGAAATGTCGGCCTAGGGGTGGCCCACCCCCGAGTCCGGGGGCCTCCACGCAGATCAGTCAGCCGCATGAAAGCCTCTGCCAGAAGGAGGCCGCCTCTGTTACCACCAGCCTCGCAAGCACATTCGCGACTACGTTTGCAAATACTCTCACGACCACCCGCGCAATCGCCTCCAAGAACACACATTCAAACCACTCACGTGAGATACCTGAAGACATGATCGACCTCGAGCGCGACATCTCCGATAGGTAAAGCTCGCCTCGACCTATAGATCGTTACCCTTCACGGAACACCAAATCAAACATAGTACTCGATCAACACTAAAATATTAAAAAAGAAAATAAATATTTGCCAAAATTTGAAATAATAACTAAACTGTAGAATGATTAAATTCGAAACTGGTTGAAGCTGCAAAAACAGTTTCCAGGCTATCCTCTGTGTTACGCTGCTTTGCCGACGAAAATTCAAGTCACGTGTGTAACATCCGACGATCGAAATTTGTTTTGCTATTAATATTATAATATTAATATTGCAAAATATTCCTGGACATGCAAATCTGCAATTGCAATATATAAAAGAGCAAAATGATACAGTAAATATACACGCCTATGATCAACCATTATACTTCCCTAATACTCAAATTATGTTTGCATTCTACAGGACAACAAGTATGGTGTCCGGTTTCGCAGGCGAGAGTCAGTTATCCGTTGGTATCAGCGGTGGGAATGGCAGCGTCAGTGGGCCACTTGGAACATTTAGTTCGCTTGGGACGCTTAACACCAAACCGCTTTCCTCAAGCTCTTCGTCTGCCTCTGGGCATAGCGAAGATGCGCCGCAATATGGTAGCCTTCCAGGTAGCGATCATCAGGGTCACTCACAACAGGATGACAGTGGGCCTGAAGAGAGCCCTGTATACATCTTAACATCTGCCAAAGGTGACCGCAGCTATAAATTAAGAGATTCCAGGTGAGCTATTTTGGAATCATTTTTTCATAATTTTTCAATTTTCCAACACATTATTACAAAATTGTAATTACAAATAACTACAATGTCTTTTGCAAATATTACCTTACGACCAGCTTTTATCAGAACATTTAGCTAAAGTAGATAAGGCTGAACTTTGTCTCAGGGGCCCATTTGTTTTTGTTAAAACTTATCAAATCGTATAGTTTTTCACCTGAAAAGTCCGAAAATGCAAGTTAAAAGTTTAGGAATCCAATAGTTTAAATAATGTTTTAGTTTAAACACTATTAACTCTATCTCAACATTTCTGTCATTATAATATAATATGTTGTTTTTAATCGCTTCTAAAGTTCTTCGAAGCATCTGCAATTTTTACATCCACTGCTACTCTTGATGTTTCTTTGACTAGTCGATAAATTTGTCAATGATCATCCAATCGAATCCAAGTATAGTATACAATGGATATTAGGTTAAGTGAGCGATTGACGTTGTCGAGTGTTTTATCTATTCTAATAACTGAAAGAAATATATCGTACATGCAAATTGAATGTAACAGCGATGATAAAATGTGAATAAAACAGGATCGTTAAAGGAGCGTGAGTGACATACATAAGAGTAAATCATTTAGTCGCGTCACTGTAAAACTCACCTTCCCTCTTTGTTTACACAATTCTGAGGGTGCACTCAGGTGCATTCTGCATTCTCGAGTCATTTAAAGATGATTCAAGTTTAAATGCATGATAGTTCGATGCATTTATTAAAAACTTATTTCTACGAACGAAATGATGTAACGTTCAATTATAAAATTAAGTTATAAATTTTAAAATGTAGTTTTATGTAATACATTACAGTACAAGTGTTTGTTGGGTAGGACTTTTAATGTTTCTATTTAATCTATTAAACGACAACACATTAAATAGTTGACGCGAGTTTGCTAGGTCTCCAAAAATTTATAAATATGGTTCGTTAATGCAATGCATACCGTGTGACGATTTCCATTTCGTTGCCAAGGATTTCAAGAAACTATGAATTAAATAATATTTTAATAAATTTGCTTAATCGTTTAACGAATCTCTTCGGTCAAAAATAAACGTGACGTGAATGTTATTAAAAGCGTGAGTTAGTGTTTGTTTATAACCTTAAAAACATAAATATCATTTTTTTTTGTCATTTTAATAATTAATATTGTTTTACTGTACTTGTCATTTATATAACAGCAATATTACTCTTATTTCGTAAGAAATGTTTAATTGCAAATAGTCAAGTAATTGTGCAATTAATTTTTGCTAATACATATGTTTTAGTATTTTGTGCATTAATATAGTTACTATTCTACAAATGTTTAATTTGTAAACGAAACATTATTTACCGCTAGAAACTTAGTAAATTTCAAAAGAATTATACTTTTTCTAATGATACGTATTGTTTTTAGAATTATAGAAATTGCTGGCGGACGAGAAGTTTTCTCTCAAAGTAGAGGTAAAGTCGCAGCTAGGAAATCACGCTTTCTCGCTGCGTCAAATTCCTTAAATAACGAAGATATTCAAATAGATAACAAGCTATCCATTAAAAGAAATAATAAATCTCCGAACACGCAAACTATATGGGAATTAAGGAGTCGGTAAGTAGACAATTTTTAGTTACAAATAAATTTTAGTTGTATTTGTATTTATAATTACATGAATTTAACTACTATTACTACTATGTATTTAATAAATAATTTTATATCATTTCTAGATGCGGCGACACAAGGAAGCAGCGTTCTAACAGGGAAGTAACTGAAACTGTATTTGCTTCTGAAATACATTCGGTGCGGCATAATTCAACAAAATCAATCCTTGACTATGATTCCCCAAAGAGCAATCACAGTAATCGTATTATTAATTATGACTCAATTTTGAATAGCAATAATGTAGAATACAATGTACCAAAAAATATTATGGAACTCGATTATGGATTGTCCAAGAGTTGCATAGATTACCAGTCGAATCATACAACGCCAGCGAGAAGTATGGCTATCGTCAGCGACGGTGAAGTTGTCGTTTTCGACGATATCGATGATAATTGGCAAAATTTGAGACTAGATTTAACTTCTAATAATACCAACCAAGTTACGTCGACTAATTTAAATCTCGAGTCTGAAGAGTCCCAGAGAGGTCGTATTCCTCCTGAACCTCTAAGTTCTAGCATTGGAAGTACTCCAAGCCCGACAACGGCATATCATCGTAATACTTCAGAGTTTTTTAAGGTATTCCTCAGTTTTGTTTCTCGAGTTTTTTCAATTTTATTATTAAGTTAAATGTTCGATGTAAGCCAAATTATATCTACTTCTAGGTAATTACACCAGCTAGCGATTGCGAAGTAGATTCACCATCATCGGAACGTAATCACAAAGTAGCAAGAGTAATTGGTGAATTACCGATAGCACAGTATTCTGAAAGTCCGAGACGTTACGGGGTCCGTGATACTCAGCTTCCTTGCCTTTTATCATCGCCATCTGTATACATGACGCCGAGACCTGGATTTCCACAGAGAGTATTGCCAACAACACCAAGTCATAATGAGGTATATTTGAATATTTATAATTTGATATTATTCTCAGAAATAATGATTGGTAATAAAATTTAATTTACTTTTATTTCAAGAAGGAGAGTACTTCTACAGAAATCATCGTAGAAAAGGCTGTGGTAGAAACAAATATGAATTACTCTGATGATCAAACTGTGAATGTCTCTCCCCCATCTCCAAAAATCGAAGATGAAGAAGAAGACTCTATGAAACCATCGACTTTGCCCACAGACAATATAAGCAATCTTGTATCGTCGGGTGGTAGTACATTCGATTATTTATATGAATTCTCGGAGACGCGAAAAGTGCTCGAGGAATTTTTTAAGTGTCCACCGCCAACAAAAGAGAAAGAGAACAGTACCGAATCCTTTCCATTTCAGGTATGCATCTATTGCTTACTATTGTTATCTACATAATAACGTATAACTGTATTTGTAATTTTATTTTGTATCGTACGTGTTACTGAAGGATCTTGATTACGAATTACGGAGGCAAGGTGGAAGTGCATACGTTGGTCAACGGTTAGCCAGTGGTCCGCCAACAACAGAAGAAGTGCTAGTACACGAATCTCCCAAGAAACAAAGAATCGACTTTCCACAAAATGTAAGTGTGATTTTCTTCAGTCGAAAGTACAAGCGGTCGAGGTGATTCGAATACAACCATTTATTTGTTTGTTAGACTGGCGAACACGAAAACAATTTCTTAGACCTTTCGGTTGGTACTGGGAGTAGCGAAGATCTGGGGGAAACAGAGGTTGGATTACAAGTCGGACATTCCCGTAATTTTACTTTGAGTCCCGAAACGACTGACTGCGATAGCAACTGTGGTGACCTCGACAGCGAAGTTTCTTTAATGATGATGGATAACGAATTGATACCAGCCAGCGGGCTTCTCGGCTCAATGGGCGACCTAGGAAACAATTCTGATCCATTGAGAATATATACCAGTATGCCTGTCCTCGAGGATGGCTTGTCCAGCGGTCATGCCAGCGATACCGATAACAATAATCCAACTGTGATGCTGATGAAACGACAAATTAACGAAATTGAAAAGGAGATTATTCAGAGAAGTCGCGTTAATGACACTAGTTATCCTACTGCAACCGAAACTGACTCGGTCGGAAAAGAGCTTCCCGGTTTAACCGTCAACAAAGATATTTTACATTCTCTAAAAACTTCCTCGCCTGACCTGTTCATTCCGAAAAAAGAGAATTCGTACGATACAAACGAGCTACAGTTCGATGGTTTGGACCCCCTTGGCACACCTCCGCCACCTGCACCTCAAGCTAGGCAAACTGTCAGTTTAGAAATTGGTGGCGAGGTTGAGGCTGCCATCAAAGATATCAGAATGGCTTTACAGAGGACTAAGACTTTACCCGTCAAGTCTTCGACGGAAGAACCACTTGAACCCAATGTCAGTCCAATTTGGATACCAAGGTATTTTACTTTCTTTTGTTCAAGTTCATGTTCAAGTCCAAGTATTGGTACAATTTTGATACGCAGTGTACTCTTATATCACACATTTATCTTTCTCCTTATCCTATACAAATAAAGTAATTGTTCTTCTTTAAGTACATCTAATTAAAATTTAGTATATCGGATGGCAGGCGGAGAATTTGCGTAGAAAACAACAGCGAAGAATCGGAAGTTCGACACGCGGGCGAAGATGCAGATGTCGAGATCGAAGAAGGTCCAGACGAAGAGGAGGCAGACACCGATCTCGAGACTGATCGATTACTTGGCCAGCAAAGAACAGACGATCAGGGTTTTTACGATGACAAGGTAAGTAAGATAGAAATTTTAATATACTTCATTGTTCATTTCGTAATATTTTATTAAAAGTAATGTTTCTACACGGTTTTTTACCGATTTGAACATTAGGCGTCGCTATCACACTTCTTCTGTTTAGCGTTGCAGAAACATTAGAAATGCGATAACGTTGCTTAACACTTTTAGCATGAATTACAAATCTTTTTAATGGAATAGTAAGAATAAATTAATTGTTATATATGTATAAAGTGAGATCCTTAAAGTCCGATTGATTTATTTTTTTATGGAAGTTTACATGAAAAACATGAATTACAAAGATAATTTTTGAGGACCAATTGTTCTAAATATTAAGATTAGATTCCTCCAGACTCGCTTAACGCTGACGCTTCTTGATAATAAAAGAAATAATCCTCTTACGATAAGTTATTATTAATAACTATATTATTGCTTGTAGTTCAAATTATGAATTTCCTTATGCTAAGCAGTAAAACTTACGAGTACATCGTACAGTGATAGTATACATATCTAGTCGTACCAACAGTTAAACAGTAATGAATGATTACGTACCTTGGTTATCCTTTCGAATCCAGTAAGGTAGATCACGTATATTTGAAAAAGTTTTTGTTTAAATAATTGCAAGATCAACGATTCTCACGTTGTACAAACTGAATCTCATAATTTTAGTCTGTTCATTTAGTAGTAACAAATGTATTTTTTCAAGATTTCAATCCTTTATATGGTGATCTAAAAAAGTTACAATAATCATAAGTATGATTTATCACGTTGAAAATATAATATTATATGTCCGATGAAATAAAAAAGGATTAAATGATGAAAGAAACTGTGCGATGCGTATAAAAATTGAGATGGGTTGCTTGAGCAAATATATTTAATCGACTAACATGACATAAATGTAATTGGTGTTACATAGGGGTGGAGGAAGCCTAAGACTAGGACAATGTTACCACCGATGAGTGGGAAACTGTCGACTCCTAAACAAACTCCCCCGAAAAGCCTCAGTGTCGCTCCGGTAGAAAGCCCGCTAGCATCTTCAGAACCTCTAGCTTCGACCTCTGCCTGTGTCTCCACTTCCGCTTCTGCCTCTATCTCACCTCCGCCAGTAGTTTCCGTAATTAAATCACCGCCGTCCGATCGTGATGTTACCACTCCCACGCAAACCACGTCGAGTCCACAGAAGACTCCAGCAAAAAATTCTCCCTCGTCCCCTCAGAGTCTCAAGGAATCCAGCAACAAGGTGAAAAAGGTGCCCTTTCAATTAAATTACACAAACCTATCTTCTTCTTCTTCTTCTATTCTTTTTCTGCTACTGTTGCTGCTGCTGCCTACTGCTGTTGATGATGATGATACTGCTATCGCTCCTTCTTCTGTTCTCTTAGTTACTCTTGTTGTTAGTAGTATCGCAATATATACAGTTACAGAAAACCTTATGGGAATTCTTATGGGATCCTAGTCTTATCCTTCGAATAAGTAGTATCACTACAGTTTCAATTAGCAAAAAATTCGAATGCAAAGATTGCATGTTTCCTATTTTCCTTTTCATATAATTCAACTCTTTGTAATGTAACAAACATCTTAGCGAAAGCTAATGACCTTATATATAAGCATAAACAATTAATAAACACATTGCATGAATAGAGCTTAAAGAGGATCGGTTATGTGACATGCGAAAAGCACGTAGTCGTGACATTGTTTAACTTACTCTTATTTATAACGTGCATAATATATACAAAATTTTGTGTTTCACAGGACAAAGAAGAAAAGAAGAAAAGCAGAAATAAAGAAGGTAAAAAACAATATTCCTTATGTTTTTTTTGCGAATACAAGCATAATTATAAATGACATTGTTATTCATCATTACTTTTCATACGTATCTTTCATAAGAGTAGTGTCAATAGATTGGTTAGACTTTAGCGATGAAATAATGCAGCGATACAATAATATAGAAAATATTATAAAATATAAATGATAAAATTATACAAACATCAGATAATATAGAAAGCATTATAAAGAAAGAGCAAAAGAAAATATACATATGAAACTCTGTCGATTGTACATTGAATCGTGTGAAATTTCTCTAGCTATATAATTATACAAACCGATACATTCTGCACTTTTTATTTATCAAATGTGTACTAATGAACAAATAACAAATATTTTCTTTTAATCGCTGCATTCCTATCGGGCACATTCGGTAGGTAGTTCTAAAATAATTTTATGGTCACGCGAAATTACGATATGCTGAGATGTTTGACGCAAGATATATGAACAATTTTTTGGTAGAAGTCTTGAAGTAGAGACGAAGCGATAAGTATTTGAAAGTTGATAGTATATACTATAATTAAAAAAATATATATACTTTGTTTTGAAGAAGTAGTGGATTAAATTAAATAATGGATCATAATAATTAATCGATTGATAAAATAAATTTGTTGTATTTTGACCATTTATTAAAACCTATAGTTTTTAAACATAGTTGTTGCTTGTTGTCGCTAAATATTAACGTCGCTGAACGCTTGTAAACACCGAAGTCCGTATCTCTTTAGCCATTACTCGTATTTGTCCATTGGATTAAAAACGTCATGGGATTCAGTAATTGATATTTAGAGATTACAATCACTTTGATAAGATGTATACGATATACGATTTTTTCCTGTAAAGCGCTGTATCCCTATTTATTCTTTCAAGTATAGTCATCCTCGTTGGTCTGCTTGCACTTTCTGCAACACTAAAAATATTTATAGTATTTCGGTGGAACAGCGATATATTTTCTATGATTTCAATTGAGAATTGTATTATATACCTATTTCTGTTTTTGTTATGCAAATTATTTATATATTTCGACGAGGACATGAGAAGCATGCAAAATAAAGAGAATTCAAGAAGAATAGCTCGGCAAATTATTAAATTTCTTTGTGTTAATTATAACAGACAACTAGATTTGTATCGAAAGATTTTTATCAAAATAGATGAATAAGAGTGAAGTGGCGTGTTTATTTTACAAGTTAAGTGATTGTTCAATTCAAGTTCCATTAAAGGGGATAAGTGGCTATTGGATTAAAGTTGTCAGATGCAACAGAGATGCAACTGTAAAAGTGAAAATGTATTAACATAGGAGATACGGATATCGTGTTGGAAGATACTTTGAAAAAAGAAAACAAAAAAAAACAGAACTACTCGTACATATACAGTAGCCTTGAAATGGCTATACAAATAACGTTGTTTAAACATAAAAGAATTAAATGAAGAAAGTAAAAATGGACCATATGGAAATTTCTGTTCCTGTATCTTCGATCAGACTTCTTCGATCTGCGCTTGACTATTTATCAGCGTTCGGTTGCTTGAATAATGAAAGTTTCAACGACAGAGCTAAATGGTGCCTTTCTGCGTCTATTTCAGCACTTCTGGATGATCCTTCAGTTTTAATCGAGGGAGTACTATTTAGAGCAAGATATCTCGGATCTACTCAGCTGGTCTGCGAAGGAGAGCCTACCAAATCGACTCGCATGTGCCAGGCTGAGGAAGCCGTCTCTAGGATAAAGGTACGCCTATGTTTATCTTGTTATACGTTTGCACTTTATGCATCCTCCCTTTCGGCCGCTTTTCCTTCGTGGCTATATGTTTATATTTACTCTGGTTATTCCATGTTAAATTAAACAATGTTGAAAATCGAAACTTGTACAACCTTGTCGCATCATCGAGCAACGACTGTATGTTCACTTTTTTCAACAATAAACCAGGATCTGTCGAATAAGCTTTCTAGACAAGTTCAAACGACTAGCTTATACTCTTTTCGGTTATTACTCTTCTATATCGATAGATTTACTCATTTTATTGCACACGCATTTTCCACAGACTCTCCGCACAATTACATCGTAAACAGAAAGTTGCGGAACACATTAATTAGATGCCTTGCACTACCTATGAACTTCAGTGTCTAACTTTTTCGTCGCATTTAAGTTAAATGCATGCCAAGTAAATGTTTTATTTCCTGATGAGTGCCAAACTGACCTTTTTTCGACGTACTCCTTTCTCAACTACTTTTGTTTATCGTATAAGACCAGGCTCTCTTAAGATCCTGGTTGCGTGGCTCCTTCCTGATAAGACATGTCCAACTCGATTCCTGAACAGGCAGTTTCTAAACCCATCCACGAGCAAAGGTACCACGATGCAGTACTCTACGACTGCTAGGGTTGCGTGTACACAAGGACATCGTTAAACAACTAGAAGACGGAAACCTCTTCTTTCTTTCAGTATCGTTATCGTTTATTTGCCTCTTCGGTTAAACCTGAGAGTTTTTTTTTTCTTTTTGATAGATTAAAATAGACGAATTAAATGATTATAACGCAACGACGCTCAAAGCCGTCCGAGATTAGATACGAAACGAGTGATGAACATAATTTTCCAATTATAAGCAGGCTTCCCAGGATCTGTTGCTATTATTATTTAAAATCTGTCATTGATTTTACACGAAGAATTTATGAATATAATCATTGCTTTTGGCGAGATTTCGAAAGTCCGTTAGGAAAGAAAAACACGGTACTTTGATAAAGACACCGCAAGACGTTATTTAAAACTAGATTCTATTTCTATTTCTCTAAAATGTGTATAGAATTGTTTCAGTGTCTCGATTGATTGAAGCCGCATTTATCGGCAATTTCTTGGGGAATATTTGAACAAAACTAAACGAAGTATAAAAGATTGATTTAGATAGTTCGTAAGATTGATTATATTACGTAAAGCAGTCTGAATGTTTTATTATAGCCACCCCTTCCCCGTGCTGTTACCACCACCACTTCACCACCGAACACAACTTTCATGTGACTTTAACGTTTCTCTGTGTTAGTTTGGGAATAGGAGCTGGATAAAATAGTATCGAGTCGAAGAAATCGAAGGTTCTCAATGTTGAAACGTATAGAAAGAGATAACAAACGGAAGAATATACGAACAGCGATACAACATTGTCCATAAAATTCTGATCAAATTTAATAATCAATTAGGATATGAATTACGAAGAACGAAGAGCAGTGACAAAGTGTAAGCGTTAATATCGAATTGTATTCCTTTTTTCGTTATTAAGAAGTTCAACGAAATATTGTAATATTATGCTTGATATTTTCGATAATGTTTCACCGGGGAAACTATGTTTATTCGGCTCCTTTATGACTATTCTTCTTCTGTATAGTTGTCTGGCCTTCTTTGCTTCGTAGATTGTACGCAGCACTATACCTTTCTCTGCACGATCGTGTATTATACAAAATTCGTGTAATATATGTCATACTAAACGGCCAATTATAACGATAAGAATCCGTGATATTAGTACGGGTCGTATCCCATAATTTATAATATTTTCAGACACGTTAGGCGATGTTTGTAATCGATTATAATACGGAGTAATTGCGTGTGATTCATATTTCTTAATCTACGTGACGCCGATGACAGAAATGATACAAAGTGCTGTATTGTTAAAGCAATTCTAAATCATGTAAACACTTCAAATACGAACTGTTACTTCTCCAACTTATTTATTGTACAAACTCGAATGCTTCATTGGTGCATCGGCAATTCTACCATAATACCGATCGTGTGCAAATATGTTCGTCCAATGAAAAATATGTACCGTCACAAGAATAAAACAAAATCTAAATATACAGAGAGTTTCGGGTTCGCAATAAACTTTAGAAGCGTGTAGAACATTATCCAAAACTTATTACTGTAGTGCTACACGTTCCTGATGTTTGCTACCAACCGAGACACGTTATGTATGATATTAGGTTGTCCAGAAAGTTCGTGCGTAATACATGTTATTTGTTTTCAACCATTTCGATATATTCAGACCTGTACCACCTACAAAAAAACCAACATGGACTTTCCGGACAACCCAATATATACATATGTATCTTTTTATAACGGACGCATTTACTTTGAATGGGATTAGTACCGAGCGGTGTGCTGTTAGTCATAGAATATCGCGTATCCGCGTACAAAAGGAAATGTGCAACAAGTTCCAATGATAACTATTCAAAAGCGTTCCTCGCGTGGTTTGCTCGTGGTGTTGGTGGTGCGTGGTAATATGACCATAGTCGGAGCGAAAGATTTTGGCTGTTCAAGGCCACTGAGCGACCATATCCCCACCGTATCATTTAACTACTTGTTATCCTCTCTCACGTCGTATTTTCAGTGCCTGAAAGAAACCTCGGAGAAAGACGAATGACGGTTTTGTTGAATTAGTGTAGAGTAATGCGTATGCGAGACTGGCCGTAACCCTAGGAGTGTAAGGGAAAGGGAAAGTGACCTTGAATGGCCGAAATCTTTTGGGCGGATTATAGAACGCGCATTTGTTTGTTTACGTTACGGAAGGAGGGGCCAGTGGGTACGGGGACGCAGGCGACCGCGACGCTGTTAAACTATGGGGGGCAGGATGAGTTTGGTCGATGCAGCATTGCCTCGCAAGGAAGCCTAGAGGAAGACGAGTGCGACTCGAGCGAAGAACTTATAGGGAGCGCGTCCGGTGGGGGCCAGTCCGTGTCGCAGACTGTGGGCCTTCAACCAAAACTGCCACTGGCCCCGATTAGTGGCTCAATGGAGCCCGCCACCGTTTTCAGGCTTCACTTTCTCGGCTCGGTTGAAGTTGAAGAGGAAGGGAGACGTAAGCGCCTTAACAACCACATAGTGCGGGAGGCTGTGACTAAAATCAAGGTCCGCCCTCCAACCCTTAGATGTATCATTATATTATATTACATTATATTTTAGTCGTTATTGCTTTCGATTATCCTATCTAAACAGATATCGTTTTTATTTCGATCCTCGTTTCTCTCTGCGTTGTACCCTCCCTACTTTCTTTCACTGACAACGAGCGATTTGAATTTCGTATATTTATATAGGAATTTATTTTACTCTGCAAATATTATAATATGGACTCTACTCGCAATATTTTTTATATTCTCGCATACCGTGTGCATTTTGTAGCTTCTTGCGCATTCAAGTTCCCTATAGCCGCACAAAAGTCCACAGTCTACTTGTTATATTCCAAGAAATACAAATCCTGCTTTTTGTACCGATAATATCTGTTTCGTAATTCCATACTTTTTTTCTACCAGTTTTGTACACTGCGTAGTATACACGAGTAGATTTACTCGTTGCCAGTGGAAATGGGTAAAATCGAGCATAAAAAGTAACAAAAAAAAAAAAAAAGTTTACTCAAACGAATAATATTTCCATGATAATGCGTGGCACACTTAATTAGGTGTTTTCGACAAACTCTCAGGTTTACAGAAGAATTCTTTATTGTTTCGCCAATGCTAACGTAACGCTATTTTAAACCTTCCATTTCACAAATAATACAAGTGGACAATTAGTTCTTTCTTATCAAATTTATACAGCATTTTCAAACGATTCTTTCTTTCAGTAATTTCTGTTCTAACTGCACCGATTCACCTCGGTCAATTAATTAATTTTCTTTTCTATTTTATTCTACATGCTGCGTCCTCACGATAGGCATTGGTATGTATACATCTGTATTACTATCTATATTATTTGCAATTTGGAAGTATTTTTTCTGACAAATTAAAAGAATGTAGCTTTCGGAATGATTTTCTTTTCAAATAATCCTAAAAAACTAACAAACAAACAAGCTTAGCTATTCTAGAAAAGCTGTAGTATTACACTTGACGAGCTCTGTGATTTGATGAACTATATCCAATAAGTAAACGATTACTTGCTGGTTAACCATTCACCTATCCTACGATAAGAAGCTATAGTTCCAACTATGAATAACATTAATGGTAATTCGTGTTAGGAATCATGATTGATTGTAAATAGTATTTGTGTTTGCTCGGCGTTGAAGAGACTGCTTGAGCTATCCAAGATTGGATAAATAACGAAAGTGTGCTGGTATCCGAATATCTCACGAGTACCCAAGCTTGAATGTTGGCCTTAAAAAGGAACTCACCAACACGATTATGATGATGATAGCGAGGAAATCCGAAGCGAAATTGTCGGGTACCTGCACACTCGAAATAAACAGTAATACGTACCTGCAGGCACCGGATGGCGAAACGCAACCGAGCACGGAAGTTGACCTGTTCATCTCGACAGAAAAGATCATGGTTTTGAATACGGACCTGAAGGAGATCATGATGGATCACGCGTTAAGAACAATATCTTACATAGCAGATATTGGCGACGTAGTGGTGCTAATGGCACGAAGACGATTCGTCCCCCATGAGATGGAGGAGGCACCGAAGATCAACAGAACTCCAAAGATGATTTGCCATGTGTTTGAGAGCGAAGAGGCTCGATTTATCGCTCAAAGCATCGGGCAAGCTTTTCAAGTAGCCTACATGGAATTCCTCAAGGCGAACGGTATAGAAGATCATAGTTTTGTAAAAGAAATGGATTATCAAGAGGTACTCAACTCGCAAGAAATATTTGGGGACGAGCTGCAAATGTTTGCCAAAAAGGAAATGCAGAAAGAGGTAATTTAATCAAATGTTTATGTACGCTGCATATCAAAAGTATATGAACCACTTGGATACATACAAGTATATGCTGTTTTTCGTTTTCAATGTCCACTTCGAGCAGAGATTAAGAAATTTCCTGACGTAATGTTTCCAGGTGGTGGTACCAAAGGCAAAGGGTGAAATTCTTGGCGTGGTGATCGTTGAATCTGGATGGGGCTCGATGCTACCGACAGTTGTAATTGCGAATTTAGCACCTGCTGGTGCGGCTGCTCGATGTGGACAATTGAACATCGGTGATCAGATAATAGCTATCAACGGCGTCTCGTTGGTCGGGTTGCCTCTCTCTACTTGTCAAACTTACATCAAGAACTCGAAAAATCAGACAGTCGTCAAGTTAACCGTCGTACCATGCGCGCCGGTGGTCGAGGTCAAAATCAAGAGACCCGACACCAAGTATCAGTTAGGATTTAGTGTACAAAACGGAGTTATATGTAGTCTGTTGAGAGGCGGGATCGCCGAAAGGGGAGGTGTTCGAGTGGGTCACAGGATCATTGAAATCAACAATCAAAGCGTTGTAGCTGTGCCGCACGAGAAAATTGTCAATCTTCTTGCGACATCCGTTGGCGAGGTGTGTCTTATTCTTTTATTGCTTTAAACGGTCGCTCATGTGAAAATTACGGAAATGTATAAAACGATCATCGTTATGTGTCGAAAGTTCTTTTCTTTTAAATCACGGGCTTAGACTTGCTTGTTTATCTTCTCGAATTGCATTGTTTCGTACGAAGTGTTGCTGATACGCTTATGTTTAATTTTAGATATTGATGAAGACGATGCCCACGTCGATGTTTAGGCTGTTAACTGGCCAGGAGTCTCCAGTGTACATATAAGCGTTTGGTTACCTGGCTGATATGCGTAGTGAACAGACAATACATTCGCCATCCACTACCAAACTATTCACTACTTTACTCTCTGTACAGTCTTATCTGACGCAACTTGCTTTCTGTTTCGATTCTTGTGGAATTCTATTCGTATACTCTCACCAGCTCCTGCTTGGCAAAGCAACAAACCTTACACGTTGCGACAAACATTAATATATTGAATATTTACATAAAGCAAAAACAAAAAATATATATATATATATATATACATAATATATACATAAACATTTTATTTATGAATGGGATTCTCCATGTTTGTTTTCCAGTTACGTGACTAGTCGAATAATCTACAATGTAATCAACAAATGCTACAAAAGAAGTTTTTGAGCAACTTTTCTCAAATCTTCCTTTCGTATTTATGCAATCCCATGGCACGATAAAAACTACGGTTCATTAACGAGAATGATATATAAAATGCCTTGCGAAGATTTTATTTTTAATTTAAAGATTGTTACGTATGTATATTTCATAGGTCAAACGTGATACCATTTATACCATCTGCATTTAAGTACAGCAATGTACTTTTCTTTTTTCTTCTTCTTTTTTTTTAATGTAATTTTTTGGTTTTATTTTATTACAGAGATAGCGTGGTAAGAGGGGAAAGAGTAAAGAAATAAATTCAAAAAGAAGACGAAATTGATCGGGTAGATTATGCATATTATTAAATTTTATTTATTCAAAGATGGCGGATGTTGGAGAATTTATATTTTGCGAAATCAGCATTGAGAATCACATTCCATACCCGGTAAGAGAAGCAAAGTAAGCAATGCACACGATTATACATAGCACAAAGCTCTTTACCAACATTGGAGCAGGGCTGGAACTGTCTATATACTTGGTGGAAGAAATATAGTAAGGTCGTAAAAATTCTGCAGAGTAAAGACTAAGAATGTGTTCTTTGAATTCTAGTGCTTTAAGAATAAAAGCCTTCAGTTCGAAAGACTACCTACGGAAGTCTAGTTCGGGTGTCTGCTCGATCTAGACTTCATTTCTTTAAAAGAACATTTCTGGGCCTTGATCAAATTAAGGCGGTATTCTAGTCTAGATCGTCGATTCTTAGTTCTTTTAGTGTATTTTTTCGATTACGACTTTGTAATCGAGTCTTCGATACGAAAAAAAAGAAACACATTTTACAAATTGAACATGATGGACGTTGCTGAACCGATCTCATTCGAGTACTTGGCTAAATTTCTTCCACCAACCATAACGTAGTTAACGCTGTAGTATGTTTGTACAAGGGCCTTCGTATATTTATTTGGCTCCGTGAAAATTACATCGTTTATTTAATCTTTTTTATCATCGGATCGCAATGCCATAGTATCATAATTTATACTAAAATTAAGATCTATCTGTCTACTACTTAATGTTTTTAACGCGTCGCTTCGTGATAAATGTCACGGTAGTTATACGGAAGAGTACTCTGAGTTTTCTTTTGCTATGATTTCCTTTTTACGATAGAAAATGTTTTTTACCGTTACTAATAACAACCTCGCCAAATTCAAGTTACATGCCAATTAGAATTATTCGAACAAAAATTCAATATCTGGATTCTTATCACACAAATGATAAAAATTGTAATATCTTTGTTTACTTAACTTGTCGTATAACTTTTGTTGAAATCATTATCCCGAGCATGTTAATGCTAACTCCATCGAAGAGGTCTCATCAGATCTCGATGGGTCTCGTTCTTTAATAAGATTCGACAAGTTAATCTTGCTAAAGATTACTAAGGGGATATTGACTTTTTCAAGAGTTTCATTTCGAAATGTTACCTAACAGTTAGAGACTTACATTTTGCCCGTTCGTAATCAACAAATGCTCTTCGAATAACTGCTGGAGTAATCTTATGATCTACAAAGCAACATCTGTATGTAACATAACGCGTAAAATGAAACGCACTTATTTTTATTACCGATGAACTACGACGTCTTGAGAAATGACTTTTGCGGTGCAATATTACTACATCATTCTTTCATACTTAACGTAATCAAGCAAGAGAGATCTCGCTAAATAATGATATATTTACAATTGTCGCGATTAATATGCACTTACTCGACTACTTAAATAATGCTCTCTACGTATCGAATACGATTCAAATTAAAAAGGAGATGTATTATTATCGACTTTACGTAATATTGCAACTGAGACGTTATAAAAATTTACAACTGGTAACGAAATAAAATTAGCGCGGGTAGGAGTTCTCTTCTATGTAAATACCGCGTATTTTATTAATTCTAAGTTTCATCTACTTTCCGCTGAACATCTCTCACTTTTGCTTCAACTGTCCAGAATTAAGGATACGTGAATCTTGAGATTTCTCACGAGAGTTTGATAAAATTTCAATGCCAAAGTACATTAAAAAAAAACAAAAAAAAAAAAACTAAAAAAAAAACAACTCGAGTACGTTGATGATCATTCGATTTAACTGCACGAGATAGCCCATCGGATAATAATTTTCTTCTTCGTATAATATATTGATATTGATTTGTGTTAGGTTTCTGAATTGAAAATGTTTTCATTTTCCATGGTATGTTTATCTTTGGGAACATTTTCTAATACTATCGCATAATGTTTCGAGTGAAATATACAGAGTAGCATATTCCTGACGTACCGAGAAAGCAATAAACAATTAACATGTGACCGATAAAGATTCAAAATGAAAGTATACTATTGTACACTTGAATATACTATTAATTAACTGATTCTTTGTATCTCTTATTACTTGTATACGTACTATTTTCTTCCAACTGTACTCGAATATACGATTCACGCTTACAGTTCTTTTTTATAATTTCGTACAAGCGTATGTAATTTCAAATGAGATGTCCTCTCGTGGATGATCACTCGTAAATAGACCGATGTAAATTTCCAATAGAAAATTCATTTACGGTTTTGGCGAATGGTTTCGCAGGATTGTAAAGAAAAATCTTAGGCAGCGTGTTACATATCGTACGTATATCATAATAAACGTTGATCAGAATACGTATTCGCAATTCGTATATCGTGCAAAATACATGTATTTTATTTCGCAGAAACATGCATTGCTTCTCATAAGAAAATGCAACTTGAAACCTTTTGAACGGTACCTTAAAAAAAAAAAAAAAAAGAACCTGTTTGGGTTGAAATTTGTAGGTTCAGGATGAAAAATATATATTGAAAACTTATAATCCATATAATTCACCCACATAGCTCATAGTTTTGTTTAAGAACATCATGGCTTAGAAAAGAATGTCTTTAAAAGTATTTTGGCGTTCGATTGCGAGACCTGATCGATATCTTAGGAAATAACTGTCAAATCGTACATCGTTACAAATCTCGAATCTGAAAAAATTATCAGAATTTCTTTACGCGATACTTTCTAAATGAAGTACGTGCGATACAGAACTTGTATACATGTATCGTTCAAGCCCAAATAACAATTCATATACACAAATGTTATGCTTTGGAACAAATACGCAGAAAGATAGCGAAACTTTCTTGGATTGTAAACGTAGCGTTCGAAAGGGTTGACAAAGCTGAACGCGCATTTAGGGTATAGATATCGTATTGCATAGCGAATAAATGAATTTTGGCATGGAAATTTTTATCCATATATTTGGCGATCGAAGGATTGGTACGAATAAAATATATGGGATCAAACAATATGTTTATATTGGGCGGCCGAAACTTATCTAGTCATTACGCTAAGAATAAGGTGAATACACAGATATGTATGGACATACAGCGCGTCCGTACCAAGTGTTACAAACTGTTCTTCCAGAAACTAACGAAGATACAGACTTCAATTTTTCTACAGTTGAACGATATACAACGGCTGGTCTTTCAGTACGTGATAAACTTTTGTTTGGAGCGAGTATTACGGAAAGAAAAAATTTGGGCGCGTGCTAAAAAACCGCCGCGTGTCATTTAATTGTAGCAAAAAAGAAAGTTGATGCCTTTGTTACATTCCGAGAAAACAACTCGCAGCACTTGGTACGCAACGCCCTGCATATGCATGCATATGAATACGTATATATGCAAATAGATATAAATATAAATACAAATATAAATGCAAATATGAATATAAATATAAATATAAATACAAATATAAATATAAACATAAACACAAATATAAATATAAATACAAAGATAAAAATAAATTAAAATACTCAGCCATCGCGAGCCACCCTGACTGAACGTGTCTAGCCACATTTTAATGATAACATTTGCGAGCAACGTTATTGTCGAACTGACCTTGCGTGATTATCGAGAGTGGCGTCGTCTTAGAATAAAATTAATTTTTATTGATTAGTTTTTCTCATTTAAATGTTTGCCTCGTTGCATTGAAAATCAAAATGGACAAATTCGTATGAAATTCTAAAAATATCGATTTGCCATGTTGCATAGGAAATCATTGAATATAAATTATTCACGGGTTAATAACAAACGGTGTTTATCATAGTCGTTTATACGATATAAAATCGTATGTTAACAGTTCAAAGTATCCGCGTTTGAAAACATTCAATTTTCAACGAAGTAGAACATTTTCGTTAACGCTATATACCTACCACGACGAGTCAATGACCGTTTTCCATTTGTTAATGGAAAACAAGGAACACTTTTTATTACATTCCAAATCTTACATTACAATCCAAACTCTTCGTTTCTCAAACGTGAGAAACGAACGTTTCGTACATTTACAATGATCGTTGTAAAAAATGAGATTAAACTAAATACAACGAGGATATTACAATTAAAATGTTTGTACCGTAGTAAATAGTACTTTCGTGTTTCCACGTAACGAAAACTTTGTACTCGTTAAAGAAATTTGAAATTCGCAATAAAAGCTAAAGGTGATGTTTGAAATTACTTACTAGTAAAATACATAAATTAATCGAGTGAATTACGCGAATAATTTTAAGAAGGACTTGAAATAGATAACGAGGAGATAATTTATAGCTTTTTATATAAATTGAAAAAGTTGAATTCGTGCAAGAAAAAGCATGTAAATGACAAACGAATATGTAACGAGTTTTTATTTAGCGAAACACGTTTTCTATTGAACCGATTGATACTAGTTGAGTTGCAGTTAATAGCTAAACGTTGAGCGTCGTAGGTTCGAAAATATTTGAAACAAACGTTTAACGTTTACAATTACAATTCTTTTTTTTTTTTTAAATGTTATACTACAATTAAAGTGTAATCGGAGATCATACGTTGGATCGATAACGATTCATTTCAGGACGATCACTGATCGTGCAAAGTCAGCGCGAATGATAGACGCAACATTACCTTAAGCAAATTGTTGGTAAGATAATTTAAACACAACCATTTGTAACGTCGATAAGTGATAAATATACCTTATACATAAATAGAGCTTGCGCTGTAGTTTCATCAGTCGTGAAACATGCTACAAGATATCGTGACTATCTTTATCAATGTTTGTGAGTGTATTATAAGTTATAAATTATAAGTGAGCTACTGAATGTGTACATGGTAATATTATACTAGTCCATATTAAGATAATAATAAAATGTAATTTTGAATTCAAATTCTAAATGCACCTAGATTATTATTTTTCACGCCTCGTATCCTCCTTTATTTATAAAATGCACTAATTAAGAAAATACAATTTCTTTTAGAATTGAAATTTCATGTATAAACAGCAAAATTACATTGTTGTCAATTACTAATTTAGTTGAATATAAGTAGCTCTCAAACATGAAGATATTCAAAACATACATTCCCTTCTTTTCTCTGCATATTAACGTAATTTAACATCGCAATTATCATAATTCAGCTTCTAATTGTTGATTTGTACACTAATAATTGTCTATTGCCTGGTTTTTTTTAATTAATAAAAATACTGAAGATGTGGCGCCATCGGTGGCAAAATGCTCAACTTTGTCGTGAAATAGTTTCTGCGTCTTCCCGCTAGATGGCGCTAAAGACATCATTTTTTGACCGACCTTAAGTTTATTATATAATATTCAACAAAGTTCTCGTAATTATGCTAGACGCATTGTAATATAAATATCCAATTGAGGAAATATATTTAAACTCTAATTTTTGACGATAAATTCTAATGTCGATAAATTTTATAGCCGTGCGTCATCTAGCGGTAGGAAATTGAAACTTTTTCACGACAAACTTGACCGATTTCCCACCGATGGCGCCACTTGTAACTACCCTACACATACATACATATTCTTATACATACATACCTATTGTCCCATACTACAAAAAATTGAGTTCATGCCTCGTGCATCAAATATTAATTTAGTCTATATAATAGATACTAGATAATAGACAATATAATTGAGATAAACATAATGAATGTGTTAAGAAAATATTCTATGCTCCCTGAATATTTTTAAAGATGACACAGTTGAAAGAATACTGTACCCGTGTACCGGTACATCGCAACCATGGGAAGCAATTATATGTATAACCGCTCTCGTTGATTGTGAGAAGCTTTATAATGGCTATTAATGCGATCATGATGATTGAAAATGATTAAAGCTAATTCAAAGTAAAATTGCAACGTTTAATTTCGCGACACAGTCGAGAATTCGTGATGTCACAGATTCAAGGACGGGGCTTAGGCCGGGTCAGGTCGGTGTGTTGAGCCCGGTTGAGACTTGATGATAAACACTAGACAAAGGAAAGATCATCGCAGTTGCGTTCTACGAGTCAAAGTGTGCGGAACGTGTAGTATCGCAGAACTTTAATAATATATTATTCCTTCTCGACACGATACGCTGATATAAGAATTTATCGATCACGGCTAATCAATTTTGGACACGCTGGTTTGCTCTGATAAATTTTTGCAGTGCGGCGGATATATTCCTCGAATCAAAATGTATAGTGAGTAATATTTCGTAATATTATTTAATATTTCTTATGCGACCATAACTCTTGAAAGTTGTTAATCGTAACTGAAACGTTGGATTTTATACTTTATTACGCTATACGCTATACGAACGCGACAAGTTCAAGGTCCTTTTTTCCCCTTCTTTTTTTTTTTTACCATACCAAAACCGTCTTTATCTTTGAAACCATGATCGTGAAAATGAAATAAACCAAGAAGTAGAGTATATTTTATATTGCTCATTTGTTAATTAAAATTATTTTGTTCTAGAATTGATAACTTTGACGGTTGTAATCCTATCTGGGGTTACAGCACAAACCTGCAAAGACAATTCGCAAGAGCAATGCCCTGCAACAACTTCAACTTCCTTTAACCAAGATACCGATTGGAATTCTGCAACTACTATCTATCAGTTTCATGCAAGAGATATTCATGGTAATGATGTATCGTTAGAGAAGTATCGTGGACATGTATGCATAATTGTAAATGTAGCCAGCAAT